GTTTATAATTTTCTTTAATATTCAAGATTCAATCTATACCTGTCAGGAGATTTGCATTTTCACAATATTGTTCTTTTTTTAAAATACTTTTCAGATTTATACATTTCACTGATTTTACAATCATTTTGACATTTCAAAACTTCCTCCCCCCTCTTTCTGTGGTTCCTTAAATTTATTTTTAATATCTTTTGAATATCCTAATTAACTTAATTTGCTCATTTACTCATCTTCTTTAAATATATACTCATATGTAATAACTGCAGGTTATTGCAATAATCCTGTCAATGTTTTTATCTGTTTATTTTTTTTAATAAATATTCTTTATTGATAAAAAATTTGCATGTCTATACAAATATTATGTACTATCTCTTAACAGGTAGAAAAAAGAAAATTATATAAAATAGAAAATTTATAAAGAAATAAAAAATAAAGAAGTAACAAAGATAAGAAAAAAACAAAAGAAGAAATGTTTTTATCTGTTTAACGTTTATCAGTTACTATTCCATAAACCATTTCCATTCTTTTATGAAAAGTTTGATATCTTGATTTCTTATTCTCCCGGTAAGTTTCGACATTTCTGCATATGCCATAAGTTTTTGTATCCGTTCTTCCTTTGCTGGGACTTCTGCTTCTTTCCATTTCTATACAGTTTGGGTAGTTCTGTCCCTATAATTCCCAACCGAAAAGCTTCTGGTTTCTTTGTTTTACAAACGTTATTTGAAACATCCTTTTCCTTTCATTATATGTCATAAATGTGGCCCCAATACCTGGCCTGGTTAAAGTTTGCTACCATTTCTTTCCATGGGTTATAGAGACATCTCTGTTTCTAACAGCTGTTGCATGTTCAGGAACATGCACAGGGCCGTCTTACCCATAGGCGCTAGGGGTGCGGGGCACCCAGGTGCCAAGAGTCCGGGGTCCGAGAGTTGAGTCCGGGGAAGAGCCCACCCATTGGCTGGAGCGCCACGGCGGGCTCTGTGCTGCGAGTTCGGGAGCAACCGAGCCAGCAAGACGCTGAGGCAGGCGCCCAGTTCCACCCTCCTGCGTGCCTGGGACTGGGCAACTTGGGGGGGGGGGGTAGGGTGCTGGGCGGATCTTTGTACCCTGGCGTCACATATGCTTCCCCCCCCAAAATTTTTTTATTGGTTTTCCACATTTCTAACAGATATAACATATAAAACACACAAAAGAAAACACACTACAATACTAAAAAAAATATATAAACATTTGTTACTTCTAAAACACTTTCGTTGTTAACTGACTTCCTCAAATCTCCCCTAACTGAATTTCTTTGTATCACCTTGTAACAGTTCTCCAAAATCTTCTTTCTAATAAAATTAATTTACTATCTTCTTCTCTTTTCCTAGTAATCAAAATCCATAATGCTTTACAATTCGTTCTTATTTTAATCCTAAGCCCATTTGGTACTTTCAAGTGACTTCTAATTGTCTTATGTTACAATATTTGGCTAAATCATCTTTGAATTTCTTCCAATCTTCTTTCTGATCGCGGATTCTTCCAGTCGGTTTGGCCAGCTCCAAAAAGTCCAACAACTTCATCTGCCATTCTTCTACTGTTGGTATTTCTTGAGATTTCCAGTTTTTAGCTCATAGCAGTCAGAAACAATCTAACATCTTTTTGGGGCAAGGCGCCGCACATGTTTAAGACAACCCTGAACGTACAAGCCAGGGCATGGCTGATTTTGGACTCTCCTGAAATTCTAGTTCCACGTCTTCACTGGCCTGCCCTCCAGGCCCATGGCCACTGCCTGCGCAGATTGTCGCGGGTCAAGGGCCCTGAGCTTGGACTTTCGTTGGCGAGTGGAGATAAAGGAGACATTTTCACTGGCCGGCCAACAATCATTAACCCTGCTCTTCCTGATGGCCCCGAGTGTGGACACCATCGTGTTTTGGAGGAGAGCTTGCTTTGTGCTTAGCGTTTCCAGGAACACAAGAAGAACAAACTGCACCGCTGGTAAACAGGAAAACGTGTCTGATTTCCCCCAGTTGGGGAGATGAAAGGCATGACGATTGTCTTCTGCCTATAGAAGTTAACCTAAGCTTTGTCGGCAGGGCGGGCGGGAATAATTTCCTTTTCAACTCTTGGCTCCCAAGTTTCTATTCTACAGATTTATATCCCACCCTTCAATACAGATATTTCCAAGACAGGCTAATGGCCACTATCAAAATAATACAGTAGAAGCAATTTAAAAGAAAAAACAGATGAAAAGAACTTGCAGATGCTAACACACACACACATCCTGCTCTGGGCTTGTTCCATAATTTCCCCCAGATGATTTCCTGTCCCTTCATATGACATTTTCTTGCTCTGCTATTGCTGGCAACTAAAGGCTAAACTACACGTGCTTTTACAAAATGGATGCTTAAAGAGGCGACTTTCATTTTAATGAAAAAGCAGCAATTATTTAGGGTGGCCATATTCCTGGAAGTGAAAATCTGGACCAAGTTTGTTGTTTGGGGACTTTTATAGTGTTTTTAAAAGCATTAAAAAAAAAAACCTGACCTACTTGCCATATGTCCAGGTTTACACAGACATTTTGCCCATTCAGCAAAAATCCGCCATTTTGCAGGCCAATTCCCAAGAAAACCCAGGCATATGGCAGCCCTAAATTATTGTCCCAATCAGGTAGGGCCTTTCCCATTGAAGACTGCAATCCTAGACTCACTATCAAGGGGATGAAATGCTAAATGTTAATTCTACAGTGGTACCTCGGGTTACATACGCTTCAGGTTACATACGCTTCAGGTTACAGACTCTGCTAACCCAGAAATAGTACCTCAGGTTAAGAACTTTGCTTCAGGATGAGAACAGAAATCGTGCTCTGGCGGTGTGGCAGCAGCAGGAGGCCCCATTAGCTAAAGTGGTGCTTTAGGTTAAGAACAGTTTCAGGTTAAGAACGGACCTCCAGAACGAATTAAGTACTTAACCTGAGGTACCCTGTATTACCATCTGATGGTAGAAAAGCAATGCTAAACTCCCCTGACTTTAGTATGGGGCGGACCTAAATCTTGAGACTTTTGCAGAGCTGTGCTCGTAACCTCCTGCGCTCCTGCCTAACCGGCGATGACAAAAATGCATTTTCAAAATCGGCACTTCATGTACGCAAAAGAAATTGAAAAGCAAAACATGCTTAGTTAAGTGTTAGAATGTGTGCGGCGTGTTCGTCTGCTGGCGTGAGTACAGTGCTCAGCTCTTAAATAGCCTTTATTGAGTGGTTCAGCAGATCATACCAGCTGAGAGAGTCCGAATCTGGCACTTTGCATCGGGAACACAGCGTGACGGTCAAAGTGTCAGGCATTTGAACTGGCTCGTGTCAGCATTCCCTCTTTGCTGTTCACTGCTGCCTAAGATGAACTGCACGAGAGCCTACAAGGTGGAGAAAGGCAAAGCCCAGCTGAAGAAATAGGAACCAGAAGAGGCCTCATGCCCAAAATATTTATTGTCTATTTAGTTTATTTAGTGCATCTGCATGCACCGCTCTTCAGCCAAAAAGACTCCTGGAGTGGCTTACAGACAAGACAGTCCCTATCTGTAGCCTTGCAATCTGGGGGAAAACCAAACAAACCACAACACACAAGGGAAAAGGGATAGAGAGGGAATAAATGGCTGGCTGTGGAAGCACTGCAGTTAAATAATTTAAAATGGATTGGTGACATTTTCCTTCAAAATTATAGGACGGGCTTTGTACACCAGATTCACCCTTTCCTTCACATGGTGCAGTTATTTTATGTTCAGTATAAACAGGGCTTTTTTTACACCTACACACACCACTTTTAATTGTTCTCCAATACATGGAGGGGAGGAAAAGGGGAAACGGGCATTCCGGGATCAAATTATTATTATTATTATTATTATTATTATTATTATTTATACCCCGCCCATCTGGCTGGGTTTCCCCAGCCACTCTGGGCAGCTTCCAACAAAACACTAAAATACAATAACCTATTAAACATTAAAAGCTTCCCTAAACAGGGCTGCCTTCAGATGTCTTCTAAAAGTCTGGTAGTTGTTTTTCTCTTTGACATCTGGTGGGAGGGCATTCCACAGGGCGGGTGCCACTACTGAGAAGGCCCTCAGGATGGCTTCTGTAATTCTGGAGCTGTCCCTGGAAAATCAGGGCACTTGGAGGGTATGCATTAAGTCTCAGCTTTGCTTCTAAATAAACATGCATAGGATCCGGCCTGCGTATAACCTGAAACACTTACTGTACACATGGTTTTCTACTTATGCTTATTGCATTATTAGCCATCACCATTGTAAGCGCTAAAGGGGTGGTTCAAAGGTGTTGTGCAGTAGCTCGTGTGCATTAATTGATCTTGAGCACGTATCCTGAGATTACAGATTTAGGGAGGACTTTGGAGCTGTGATAGGTATGGTCAAAGAAACTTGTAGAATCACTACTGCAAAGTTTGTGTGCTGCAGTTGGAGAACAGAAGAGGCAAGGATTCTTATTACTGCGCTGTGTGGCTGCCCCATAACAAGTGAGCAAACAAAACATAGAAATTCCACACTAAATGCCTAGTGTGGAAGAACCCTGTGTCTATCTGGTCTCTCTTAAATTCCATTAGTTTTTAAAGGCAGTTTAAACTGAGTTGCTGCAGTTGCCTATGATTGGGGTTTTTTATGCAGAGGGAGGAGTGGGATAATATAAAATGACCTGTCGGGAACCCAATTGTGAGCAGTACTAAAACCTTGAAAATTTCAACCCAGGGATTCATGCACATAGCAAATTTCCTCCATCAGCCCTGAGCCACGATGCAGGAGAAGTTGTGCACCAACCAGAGACGCTTCCTTTTACCCAGGGGACGGGATGAAGATTTAATGTGGCCCTGGAAAGAGTTAACGCTTTTGCGGCGAAGGCAACAGGCTGTTTTGGAGGGCTTGTTTGTTCCTCTTACATAAGTTTCTCTAAACTTGTTTGTCCCAAGCTAGGGGGGGAAGCACCTTTGATCGGGAAGGTGTTTTTGTACCAAAGTGATTTTAAGTCCAAAGCTCAATCTGCCGCACACGGGAGAAGATAAAAGGCGATGAGAGCCGTCCAAGGGTGTAGTGCAGCTTCAGCAAAGACCGAAATAGCTGGTCGCTCAGCTATCGACAGAATGGAAGCGGGCATGGACTTTCTCCATCACTCAGGCATCCAAGCCACACACTACCTCCAAACAAGCTACCCGGCAGCCCAGGATTGGTTCCTCTTTGTTTCTTTCGCTGCCGACCTCCGAAACACGTTCTTTGTCTTCTTCCCCATCTGGTTCCACCTCTGCGAAGCGGTGGGGATCAAACTCATCTGGGTGGCTGTGATTGGCGACTGGCTGAACCTCGTCTTCAAGTGGTAAGTGTCCTGCCTACTCTAAGGTGGTCGCCTGAACTCAGGCTTTCTTCATCTGGGCATGTAATGTTGTTAAGCAAAGATAAAGGGACCCCTGACCGTTAGGTCCAGTTATGGCCGACTCTGGGGTTGCGGCATTCATCTCGCTTTATTGGCCAAGGGAGCCGGCGTACAGCTTCCGGGTCATGTGGCCAGCATGACTAAGCTGCTTCTAGTGAACCAGAGCAGCGCACAGAAACGCCGTTTACCTTCCCACCGGAGTGGTACCTATTTATCTACTTGCACTTTGACGTGCTTTCGAACTGCTAGGTTGGCAGGAGCAGGGACCGAGCAACAGGAGCTCACCCTGTCGCGGGGATTTGAACCGCCGACCTTCTGATCGGCAAGCCCTAGTCTCTGTGGTTTAACCCACAGCGCCACCCACGTACTTGTTAAGTAGGCACCAAGAATAGCCACAGCTAGCTTCCATAAATTTGGAATGGGAAGACTTCCTGGCAAGTCCAAACCCCGGTAACAAACTATTCTACCCATTCCAGCTGCTCTCTGCTATTCTGTGAAACCAGCGGTTAGGATGGCCTCAATGGAACAAGTCCTTTCCATTTCCCTTCCACTCTTTCCTTCCCTTTCACGAGCTCCTCTCTGCAAGTTCCATGCCAGTCTGGCAAGTTATTTTTTCTGGACTTGTGGAATGGGAGGAAAGTCTTTGGTTGCCCCTGGTTGACTTCAACGAGTTGCGTGCATGGCCTATTACTGCCTTTGGTGTTAGCATCTAGGATAAATATCTATCTAGCCCCCAGATCTGTTTTTTTCCAGCACCAGACTCCAAAATACTCCACGAAAACATGGGACCCTTCTGGTCTGCTTGCATTGTGATCCTTAACACTCAGGAATTTGTGTGGGTGTCGCAATTCTCTTTCCTTTCGGCCCTAGCTGGTTCTGTTGTCAGCAATCCCTTCCCACAGCAGAGACTCACAGTGCCTCTCATGTTCCTTTTCTCTACAGGATCCTGTTTGGGCAGAGACCTTACTGGTGGGTACGTGAGGCCAGTTTCTACCACAACACCTCGGCCCCTGCAATCCAGCAGTTCCCTGCTACGTGTGAAACTGGCCCAGGTGAGATGCCGAAGGAAAGGGTGGCCGTGTAACCAGAGGCAGGGCAGGAAGGAAAAAAGGGAATGCATTAACACCAAAAAATATAATCATAAAGACAGTTATTCTGTGAACTGCCCTGAGATCTTATGGTGATATAAATCTAATAAATAAAATAATAATACAGTAGTACCTCGGGTTAAGTACTTAATTTGTTCCGGAGGTCCGTACTTAACCTGAAACTGTTCTTAACCTGAAGCACCGCTTTAGCTAATGGGGCCTCCTGCTGCGCCGCCAGAGCACGATTTCTTTTCTCGTCCTGAAGCAAAGTTCTTAACCTGAAGCACTATTTCTGGGTTAGTGGAGTCTGTAACCTGAAGCGTATGTAACCTGAAGCGTATGTAACCCGAGGTACCACTGTAAACAGGTTTGATAAATCTAGGCCATGTCTTGAGTTAATCATAATTCCATATGTTTGGTGAGCGCCTGCATTTTCTGTACTTTCCTGTACTGGAACACAATATAGCCTTGCAAGATTTAATTTCCTCACCCATGTCTGAAGCTCAGTGAAAGATACATTTTAAGAGCCAAATGGGTTAAGTTAAATGCTAAAAATGAAGTAAATGGTCAATGAAGCTCTGGCTTAAACTCCCACCACCAAAACATGGTTCAGTCTCAGATCAAAATCCAGGCGCTCTCTGAATCTGTGCTTTCCCTGGAAAACAGAAAGCGACGCCAACACAAGACTTGCTCAGCTGTTGCAGAATATGTTGCTTGGGCTCTGACTGGTGAGCCTTGAAGGGGGTGGGAAATCAATACATAAAGAGTAGTATTTGGGTACATAAGGCCTGCATCTGATTTTGCATTTTATTTCCCCTCTGGAAAGGCGACGGGTTATATAGACAGCTTGAAAGGGTCTTGCTGTAGTAATATCTTTCAGGCAAGGCTGAGGGTGATACGGAGGTTTTGGAGCCAAGGTGTCTGACTTTCCTTTTCACTTTAGGGAGTCCCTCTGGACATGCGATGGGTTCAGCCGGCGTGTACTATGTGATGGTTACAGCCATTCTCTCCATTGCATTGAAAAAGAAGCAGCCATCTTGGAAACACCGGTAAGCAACGCCAGCAATATTAACAAAAGGCACTCTCTCTGAGCAAGGGAGAGTGCTGGGAAGTATTTTCCGCTTCAAGGAGAATTAATATTACGACGTGCAACAATGCTTCCGTTGTGGAAGGGAAAATTGGAGGTCCTGCATTTTATCTCTTTGGCAGTAACCTTTTACAAAAGGTACAAAAATATACCAGGAGAGAACAATAATGTCCCTGTGCATATCTTAGGGATGAATGGATCTGTTAATTTCAGTCCTCTAAGCTTCTCATTTCTCCAATCTTAGCATTCTCAGTTCTCCACATTTCCGCATTTTTTTTAAAAAAAATCCTCACGAAAAGTTGACAGCATTTTAATGCAAATTTCTCCAAATAAGCACATTTTGATATGGCTCTCTGGCTAATCATTCATATTTTTGCAAGCAATTTTCCCAAGTATTATGCATTTTAATACTATTTCCATGATTGTGTGTGGTTCTGTGCACATTCCCCCTCTGCTATTGCGTGGGGAACTGCGTCGCACAATTCAGAGGAGGACAAATTTTGCAGGATAGCTGTGTTCACACAATGTTCGCACGTTGGTTCGAGAAGTGCAAGTTAGTTAGTTTCTCACTGAATTGCAATGAAGATCAAATTGCCCCTCCATCCCTAGTAGATGTTGTCATTAAAATTGCCTGTAGCAACTGGAAAAGTGAATTATTCTCATTGGGAACCAGGAGAAGGCATATGCAATGTTTCAAAGTGCAGCAGGGCTATGCTGGAAACTCCTTCACTGTGATCAGTACAAGGGTGCCTCTCTCGGATCATGCTTTGGAAAATACATTCCTACATGTCTGAACCAGAAGCCAGATGATTGTGCGGATTGACTGCCCCAAGCTGTTGCCAAGAGATTTCTCAATCATCAGACAATGACAGCCTGCCCGAAGTCTGTAGGAAGGGACAACATTTGGCAGCTGAGCAGGATTTTGATTGGCTTGTTTGCTCGTCTGTCGTTTCAGTTGTGAAGCCAGAGGAAAGTCAGGCTCACACTGCAATCTAACAACCTGTTGTGACCTCTGCTTTCATATTACACTGGTCTTCCCCTGGTGACAGAGGCTGGCCAATGCAAAAACTGCACAGGAACCCAAAGTCTTTGTTATGTACTGAAGTTCTCACCCTGGGCCAGCAGGGGGATACTGTAGATAGTTATGCAAATGAAGGATCGAAAGTGATGTTCAGTGATTGGATAGTTTTAGAAAGTTGTTACAGTAACGTGGTACTGGAGCTCTATATAAGCAGGCTGACTGAGCCCTTCAGTTCAGTTCTGTTCTGGCCTCTGAATAAACAAGAGTTGTTTGAAGAATCACTGTGTCATCTGATATGTTCACCCACAACTTAACAGTCTTAATTCTCTCCGGAGCTCTTACATTTTTCCTGACAGTGGGTGGGAAAGGATCTGTATAGCTTGCAAGTGAGCTCAGGAGATGCCCCAGAAAAGTCTGGCTTGCCAGTGTTCACCTCTATTCTCTTCTCTTCTCATCTCTTGTCTCCTTTTGCAGTTTCTTGCAGGCAGTGCTCTGGGCGGCTTTTGCTGTTGTCCAAGTCTGCGTCTGTCTCTCCCGTGTCTTCATCGCTGCCCATTTCCCCCACCAAGTTGTCGCCGGTGTCTTCTCAGGTCAGTGCAGGTTACTCACCGCCTGGTATGATATATTGAGATGTACGGCAAGGCTGCAGCTATGGAATACAGTAGAATTTGTTGCCGTGGACTCAGCTACAGATTCTAATACGCAGACTCCACAGAACAAAATTAGTGTGCTCCCCGAAATGAGGTCTAAAAAAAATAATACCGTATTTTTTGCTCTATAAGACTCACTTTTTCCCTCCTAAAAAGTAAGGGGAAATGTGTGTGCGTCTTATGGAGCGAATGCAGGCTGCGCAGCTATCCCAGAAGCCAGAACAGCAAGAGGGATTGCTGCTTTCACTGCGCAGCAATCCCTCTTGCTGTTCTGGCCTCTGAGATTCAGAATATTTTTTTTCTTGTTTTCCTCCTCCAAAAACTAGGTGCGTCTTGTGGGCTGGTGCGGCTAATACGGTAATTTTATTAAAGGTTTTCATCCTAATATAGCATAAAATTCAAAATAAAATAATAAAAAGCAATGCATCAAACAGAAGAAAGAGAAAAAGAAAGAAAGATACATTAATAATATTTCTCATATGATCCTCATAAAAAACAAAATTATAAATATATGCGTGTCATAGCTGTCAACCTTCCCTTTTTTTGCGGGAAATTCCCTTATTCCAGCGCCGTTTCCCGCTGCTTCCCGCTGCTATCCCGGATTGTTAGATATCCCATAGACTGTCCCCGGGACAGGTGAGGCTGCTGATCCCTTATTTTCAAATCTGAAAGTTGACAGCTATGAATTCTGTGTAACTTTTGGCCACCAATTTATCTTAACCTTCATACATACAGAGAGCTGAATTTCCCACCTCCCACCTGGGAGACCTTCCCCTTCCACCCTGAGAAAAATCACTCTGACCTGCCCAAATGAGGTCTTGATGAGGCTGTGAGATACCCATAAAACAGAATACTTTGTCTTTGAGGGTGTGATGGCAGTCCAGGTGTTCCACCTTGTTTAGTTTTCTAAAGACCCGAGCCATTTTGCTAAGCATACCACAAAAGACATCACTGCGTAGCCTTAATAATAATAATATAATAATAATAATTTATTATTTGTACCCCGCCCATCTGGCTGGGTTTCCCCAGCCACTCTGGGCGGCTTCCATAGAAACAAAAAATACAGTAAAATATCACAGATTAAAAGCTTCCCTGAACAGGGCTGCCTTAAGATGCCTTCTAAATGTCAGGTAGTTATTTATCGCTTTGACATCTGATGGGAGGGCGTTCCACAGGGCGGGCGCCACTACCGAGAAGGCCCTCTGCCTGGTTCCCTGTAGCTTTGCTTCTCGCAATGAGGGAACCGCCAGAAGGCCCTCGGCGCTGGACCTCAGCGTCTGGGCAGAATGATGGGGGTGGAGACGCTCCTTCAGGTATACTTAAGATTGCTTCCAAAAGTTTGGAGGTGTGTGTGTCCTGACCAGCGATGTCTCCTTTCCCCCCAATCCAGGCATGGTGGTTGCCGAATCTTTCCAGCACATACGCTCCATCTACAACCCCAGCCTGCGGAAGTATGTGGGCACCACCCTGTTCCTCTTCTCTTTCGCCCTGGGTTTCTACCTGCTGCTGAAGGTGCTGGGCGTGGACCTCCTGTGGACCTTGGAAAAGGCCAAGCGGTGGTGCGAAAACCCAGATTGGGTCCACCTGGACACCACGCCCTTTGCCGGCCTCCTGCGCAACCTGGGCGTCCTCTTTGGACTGGGACTGGCCCTCAACTCCCCAATGTACGTGGAAAGCTGCAAAGGGAAACAAGGGCATCAGCTGGCCTTCCGGCTGGCCTCCATCGGCGCTTCGCTCCTCGTCCTGCACCTCTTTGACTCTTTCAAGCCCCCTGCTAAAGTGGAGTTGCTCTTCTACCTCCTGTCTTTCTGCAAGAGTGCCGCCGTGCCACTGGCAGCGGTTGCCCTCATCCCGTATTGCGTCTCCCAGATCCTTACCCAACAAGACAAGAAAACTGTGTAGTCGCCATGCCGGTTTTATTTTCTATGAACTTGAGCAGGTGAAGAGCTACGACGGAAGGCAAAAAGGGACAGCGTTCTTGGCGGTCCTCTTAACTAAGTGTGTTCTGGGCTCCCGCTGGAGCCAGGATACGGCTGACCCATCTGCCTTCATAAAATACCAGCCCGGGTCTCCATCCAGTGCTGTCCATAGGTCGTAATTCCAGTGGCGCAGTTTGGTAATTTTTAGATTGTGGACATTATGGTTGAAAGGTAACGTGTGCCGCTCCGCTTATTTCAAAATGTTGCTGATATGCCAGCGCTTCTGCATCTGGGGCCCCTCCAGACCCTAAAGTCTTGGCCCTGGATGGCGTTGCTACGTGAGTCTTCCAGTGCAAGACATTTCTCCAGAAAAGTGTTACCTGCGATTTTGTCCGCCACCAGCAAATACATGCTCAGCTGAGATGACAGGGAAAAACTGGTATCAGCAAGGCAGGGAACGGGGAGCAAGCAGGGGGATTCACTTGGCATAGTTGGGGCAGAAGAGGAATAGAATATATATTTCCACCATTGCCTGTCTTGTGGCAGGAGAGGGAAGTTATCTGTCCATCCATGACACGCGCCAGCATTGTTCACACTTCAAGGGAGACGCTCCCTAGTGAGCCTGGCTGCTGTTATGAGGTCAAGCGATGAACTCCTGTGTGTGTTATCGGGGGGTTTCACCTCACTGAAGGATTGACGGTCACTTTTGGGATGGGGAGGGAGAAAAGATGGCGAACCCACCCGCGGCCTACCGCAGCCTAGAGATGGCTTTTGTAGATGTCTGCACGCCATATTTCTATATTTGTACCTACACCTTTTTGTTATGAATAAAGCATGTTTTGTTAGCAAATGAATGGTCAGCTTTCTTTTGGGAAAATATTTGAAAACTGAAGTATTAAATGTTGTTTAAAAGCTCCCCATATCAATTCCCTCTGCCAGTTAACTATAAATGAACTCCTAGCCTTGATTTAGTGATGCAGGTTACAGTACTTCTACAGTGTTGTGCCAGAGCGCTAAACTTTGAGATGAAAAGAATAATAATCTGCAATGATTCTCTAAAGCTCCTCTCTGGTCTCTGCCAGCTCAACTTTTCACTTCTTTTAACTGCTGAAGAATTATTATCCAGTGTTTACGCAGTGGGTGGGCTACTCTGTGCCAAAAAATGATATCCTGAGACTTTGGTGGTGGTTTCTTCACCTGTTGACAGGTAGGGGAAGTAATACTTGCTGTGATTAATTTATAAAATGAAGCTGGGGATCTAGCCTGCTTTAGAGTACTGGCACTTCAGACCTGAAATCACTTGCTCCTAATCAAAGCAGGCTATAGGACTCATTGGTGAAAGAAAGGCATTCTGCACATGGTCAGAGGCATTGTCTTCTCTTATTCACATATTTCAGAACGGAGTCTTGATTTGTTCCAGAGCTAATCCTTGGGGCAAGCTAAGCCCTGTTTGCTTCCCTGTCATGCTAAAAGACTGTGTCAACAGTTCATCAGCTGCCAACCCTTAACTCCCAATTCCTAGGATTAAACATATTGCAAGGGGAAAGCTGGAGGAAAGGTTAGTGGGTGGGGCACATTGACTGAGCCACACAGCACCAGTATATGAAGTAACTTAGAGTTCATCTCCATTTATTTTTGTTTGCTGTGTAAACCAACAACAAATTGTGATTATTGCAGACCCTATTTTCCGGGGACGTCCCTGATTTAGAGAAACCATCCCAGTTTCTGATTTGATCCCAGAATGTCCAAGTTTTCCTTAGGATGTCCCTATTTTCATCGGAGAAATGTTGGAGGGTATGGAATTATCCAACCTCTAAACTGTCAGAAGACAAGTTTTTTTAAAATGCTTACTTTTTTTTTTATATGTTGGAAGCTGCCCAGAGTGGCTGGGGCAACCCAATAAGATGTGCGGTGTGTAAATATTAAAATTATCATTATGGAATGGGACGTCCCTATTTTCATTGGGAAAATGTTGGAGGGTATGGTAGGCAGTAGGACCACATGGTTTGCATTTTTTTTTTAAAAAAAGGTTTCAAGTTGATATTCCCCATTACAGATAGCAAGGCTGAGAGAATGACCCTCCATTCTGGGCCAAGGGGGGTGGGATTCACTGTCTGACACAGGCCACAGTCACAGTGGATAGATGAACTAATTGTATTAACAAGTTGGCGCTTAATAAAATTTGACGTATTTCCCGGTGGTGCATTTGGGGGGCCCAAAATGGTGGGCATTGGGAGAAGCGGTACCACCATAGGCAGGGGGTAAAGAAACGAGTAACGTACAAAGGAAGCCATTGACACGACAGTAAGCTTAACACACTCAAATCAACAAAATCCTACCACCAGTAGAAATCCAGAATTTAGAATATCTGTGATTGGGCAGCAGCAATCCACCCACAATGAGCAAAGAATGACCGGTAGCAGAAGTTTGCCCTCTTTCTAACTTGGGTCTTATTTTATATGGAAAATGTGATTTATCTCAAATTTGTAAACATGGGGGGAAATTGCCTTGCCAGTTCTTATATTGCAATAGCAGAGGGTGGGGTCACTCGGATAGCCCTGCAATAGAATAATCCTTTGCAAATACCATATTTTTTGCTCTATAAAACTCACTTTTTCCCTCCTAAAAAGTAAGGGGAAATGTGTGTGCGTCTTATGGAGCGAATGCAGGCTGCGCAGCTATCCCAGAAGCCAGAACAGCAAGAGGGATTGCTGCTTTCGCTGCGCAGCGATCCCTCTTGCTGTTCTGGCTTCTGGGATTCAGAATATTTTTTTTTCTTGTTTTCCTCCTCCAAAAACTAGGTGTGTCTTGTGCGTCTTATAGAGCGAAAAATATGGTACTTTACGTTGGGGTGGGTGGGTTTAGACTGACTTGTTTTCTTTTCAGGGAGAACGTTCCCCGTATAAAACAGCTGGCAGTAAACGTCCGTCTGCTAAAAGCTGCCACATTAGACTCAAGTCCCAGGTCTCCCCGAATTGAACCCGGCATCTGAGTTGCATGTGGAAACCTTGTAAGCAGAGATGTAGCACATAAAAAAACAAAACACTGCCCCCCCCCCCAAATCCCCCGTCTAAAGTAAGGCTTGAGTTAGATTACATAGTCCGGCCTTTGCAGCTACTCCTTTTGTGGTGTGCATGTCTGTAAGATCACTGCGAAATCCAGCTAAAATCCCAGAATTCTCCACATTTCCCCCCCCCCATGGCAAGCTATCCCAGCCATCCCAGGGGAGATGTGAAAAATGGAGGAGGCGGCAGAGCAAATACCACAATAAGCAAGGACACGGAGTTCCCAAGAAGGAGGGAGGCAATGCCACAGAGGATTTTAAAGACCCAGACGAGGACGTATGTGAGGAAAAATGCATTGTGCCAAGTCTTGATTCCGTAGCTGGGGAAATGCCTTAAAAAGCAGTTGCTTTTGGTGCACAAATATAAATATACTAACTTCCCCCCTTGATAGCCAGAAACATAAAAGGGCTTATAAAATGATCACGCTGAAGGTCAGCAATCCTCATAACTTTCCAAATATACAATGTATTCTTGACCATTTTCAAAACAGGAAAGTGATGTAGGAGTGGAGCAGGGACTATATTTGAAATGTAGGCGCCAACTCCCCACCAATAAAATAATTGAAGGCGCTACCCCCCACCCCAGTTGATGAGCATTGCCATTAAAATGGCGTGTGTGTCTCGCACCATGTGATTGATTATGTGGGGCAGGGCCTACCTGCCCCCCTCCCAATATTTTATTCAAGTTGGCACCCTGTTTCAAAATCTGAACCGGGCAGCTTTCCCTCACAGGCGATATGTCAGAAGATGCATGCTGATGGTAGGTATGGCCGAAGCCAGGGGTGAGTTGCAGGGTCCAGCCCTACTATGAGGCAGAGTGAGGCAGCTGCCTCGGGTGGCAAATATTCAAGGGCAACAAGCAGAGTGCGGTTCAGTGTGTGCTATGCAAACTGCCCGGCACCCTCAGGATGCAGTGAAGGATGAGGAAATAAAATTCAATGTGTCTGTTGAACTGTTTGCACCTGGAACGGGACTAGGAGGAAGCGACTTCTCGCTTTTTGCTTCAGGCGGCAAAATGCCTTGGCCCAGCCATAGGGCCTACGCAAATTGGATGAGGTACCCTTTACCTCTCCCTCTTCTTAAAGCGGGACAGTTGAGAGGTACAAACTCCTTTCCGCCATGTTTCACTTGCATCCAAAGGAGGCCGAGGGCCACAAGAAATTAGGGTTCTGTACCTGTGATTCGCGCATCTACTTTTGCACACCAAAGGACACTGTTGCGCTCAGCAACTGAAAATCACTGGGCTGGGCCTTTACCAGCACTTTGCAAGAAAACTCTACTAGGAAAACGATTAAATTTCCAGGTCCAAGGGCTGTAAAAACTTCAGATACCATAAGCGCTGACACAGGTGTCACCTCAGGTCTCCTCAGGCAGAGGTGGGCAGATGTCAGGGTTGCGAGGATATATTTCGTTTGTGACTGGATGCCCGACACCCAAATGCAAAAGTAAAGATTTCCGAGTCTCGGAATTTGAATTAAAGACTTCCAAGTCTAGGAATTTGGGTGCCAGAAATGAATGGAGGTCCTCAACCCTCCTGGCGTTGCGGAGCAAAGGAAATTAGAAGCAAAACCTCCTCATTTGCTGAATTCTGACTTCATGTTCCTTAACTGCATTCCTCACAAAAGTCCTAAGGACACACATGTTAGATTTCAGCTTGGTTCTTCACCCCTTTCGTTACAGAAAAAGGTCAGCAAGTACTGCAGGTTAATGCTTAACTCTATTGTCTTCAACATTTATCTTTTTGCTGGCTACTGAATCAGCTTCAACCACTCCCATTAACTGATGTGTCCTATCGTTACACAATGAAAATATTGCTGACTTGCATTTATTTATGCAGCACTCGATTTTTCCCTCCTTGATGCTGCCATGTGGTGTGTATTATTCCCGTTCCAGGCAAGGAGGGGCCGTGTTATGTAACTCAGGGCTGCCTACAGCAATAATTTTGACGGTTTTAGCCTTGTAGTGATCCCAGTGTGATGCAGTGACTAGGGCACTTCCAGACTGTCATTATTTTGGGTGTTATGATTCATTTCCACACAGGCAAATTCAGGTCTGACAATTAAAGTGTGTACGCTCCAACGTTTCTCCAATGAAAATAGGGACGTCCCATTCCATAAGGATAATTTTTACTATTTATACCCCCCACATCTTTCTGGGTTGCCCCAGCCACTCTAGGCAGCGTCCAACATATATAAAAACAATAAAACATTAAACTTTTTTTAAAAAAACCTTCCCTATACAGTGGTGCCTCGCAAGACGAAATTAATCCATTCCGCGAGTCTCTTCGTCTTGCGAAGCACGGCTATTAGCAGCTTAGCGGCTATTAGCAGCTTAGCGGCTATTAACGGCTTAGCGGCTTTAAGAAAAAGGAAACAAACTCGCAAGAACTCGCAAGACGTTTCGTCTTGCGAAGCAAGCCCATAGGGAAATTCGTCTTGCGGAACGACTCAAAAAACGCAAAACCCTTTCGTCTTGCGAGGCATTCGTCTTGCGAGGCATTCGTCTGTACAGGATTGCGAGGCATTCGTCTTGCGAGGCATTCGTCTGTACAGGATTGCCTTCAGAAGGCTCAGGGGTCGGATAACTCCATACCATCCAACATTTCTCTGATGGAAATAGGGACGTCCTAAGGAAAAGCGGGACATTCTGAGATCAAAGCAGAAACTTCTGTATATCTGGGACTGTCCCTGGGAAATAGGGGCTCTTGGAGGGTCTGAAATAGTCAACAAACCACTGTTCAACCACTTGAAAACTGTGCACAGATGAATCAGGATGTTTCATTGAACAGGCTCTCTGGAAGGAAGGACTAGGAGGACTTTCCTTATAAAGGAAAGATATGTATCTATCTATCATCTATCTATCTATCTATCTATCATCATCTATCTATCTATCTACCTATCTTCATTGCCTTTTAGGCCTTAAACAGGCCCCCAAAGCAGCATACAAAATTATGGAATACAAATACAATAGGAGCGTTTTAAAATGGAGCCATTAAGCATTTAGAATGGAACACTTATTTTAAAAATCCCCATAAAACAAAATCAGAAGGGCCTCAAGATAAACCAAATGTCTGGCAAAAAAAGAATCGTAGAGTTGGAAGGGACCTCAAGAGTCATTTAGTCCAACCCCCTGCAATGTAGGAATCTCAGCTAAAGCATCCATGACTCTTTATTTAGTGGCAGGGAACCAAATCTCTGTAAGGCAGGCATGTCCAAAGTCCGTTCTGGGGGCCTAATCTAGCCTGCCCCTGTGGCAGTATATGTCCTGAGGTGAAATCCTTTACTTTGGGGTAAAATTGTAAAAACCCAACAACTTCAGTCCTAAAAAAAGCCCAACAACTCTGGCCGGCCCTCACACATGTTCACTTCAGCAAATCTGGCCCTGTTTGAAAAAAGTTTGGGCACCCCTGTAAGGAAATTGTTCCACAGTCTGGGTGCCACAACCACAAAGGCTCTGTTTGTCCTTCTCTCCCTGTATTTTTTTATCAACGGCTACTGGCAGATGGTGCGAATTCTCTTTCAATGGAGGGTGGGAAGGCACTGGAGGCATAGCTGTCAACGTTTCCCCTTTTTAAAGGGAAATTCCCTTATTCCGAATAGGATTCCTCACAAGAAAAGGGAAAAGTTGACAGCTGTGATTGGAAGTGCAACGCAGCAGAGCATCACCGAACAAACTGCCTTCACTCAGACCACACTTCCCATCAGGTAGGTCAGTAACTTGCCGCCGGTTGATATGTAAAAGGCTACTCAACGCACAACAGGTATTTAAAAATAAGGTGGCAGGGAGAGAGGGACAACAGAAAACACTGGAATGCAATTATTTAGCCGTGGTGTTTTCTGGATTAACCATAATAACTGAGTGAACAGAGCATCGCAATTCCAGAAAATAGCCGTATCCTCCATCAATTTATCTAGCGCTTTTTAAAACTGTTCAAACTGGTGACCATCTTTTGGTAGCAAAGAAATGCTAGCAGCATAGTCAAAGAGTTTTAACTCTTTTGGGGGAAGAAAGAAGTCGCTGGGTCTCTGATCTAGCTTCGTACTCCTGGTCCAGCTCAGGCCTTTTTCTGTTGAAAATTCCCACCGCAACCACGAACCGAGGGTTTGTCTGGGAGTCCTCCTATTTAATCTTCAGGTGGAGGGACCTGTCAGATGAGGGAGATCTTGCTCACGCAAGCTTCCACGCTAGAGGTCACGGCCTTTTCGCAAAGCAGAACACTCTGTTCTCTGTCCGGAAGAACATAGGTGAGCATACAGGCAGGGGTGAGCTCAAACTCTGACCCCTCTTATTTATCTGCCTTCTCTTCCTGCCTGCCACCTTCCACCTTCCCCAGGAGTTCCAACCTTGACCCCAGCATGCCTATCTGCCAGCTATTGAGCTGTTTTCCCACCACGTGGGATTTCTGGGATGCCCACATTCTCAAATCCTAACCCCTGCTTCTTCCAGGACACTTTGGGCTGCCTGTAACAAACCTCCAACAGCAGCTGCCTTGCCCTCTGCAGCTGATTTCTTTCCCCATTAATACAGTTGTTTACTTTCTTTTATCACATAATTTGGGAGGTTGCACTTTGATCTCGTTCACTCGGAAGCTGCGTGCCTTTCTGCTATGTGTTCCTCAAACTCCATGTATGCAAGATCATGCCCTTTGAGTCTTGATTAATTAATTAATTGCCCTGGAAAGATTACTTATCAGCACTTACTCTTCAGTTTCTGAGCTGGGACAAAAATATATCTATGCTGTGGTGCTTTAGCGATATTGCTACCAGTTGATATGGGGGAAAGACAGTCAGCGCAGAGTTGTCCAGTGGACCCAACTCTGATCCAATGGATCCAATAATCTGATTTCTTTTGTTCCTATATACTTGGGGGACGCGGGTGGCGCTGTGGGTTAAACCACAGAGCCTAGGACTTGCCGATCAGAAAGTCGGTGGTTCGAATCCCCGTGATGGGGTGAGCTCCTGTTGCTCGGTCCTTGCTCCTGCCAACCTAGCAGTTCAAAAGCACGTCAAATTGCAAGTAGATAATTAGGTACCGCTCCGGCGGGAAGGTAAATGGCATTTCCGTGCACTTCTCTGGTTCGCCAGAAGCGGCTTAGTCATGCTGGCCACATGACCCGGAAGCTGTACGCCAGCTCCCTCGGCCAATAAAGCGAGATGAGGGCCGCAACCCCAGAGTCGGCCATGGCTGGACCTAATGGTCAGGGGTCCCTTTACTTTACCTTACCCTGTGCTTTAAAAAAAGAAACCCAACTTCCACCTGAAACACAGCTAAATTCAGCATGCTGCACGAATGATATAAACTCAGTTCTTGTGAGTCTGCATGCTTATTTGGCACATTTTATTATGCTTCCTCACTGAGCCTAGGGCTTGCCAATTGGAAGGTTGGCAGTTCGAATCCCCATGACGGGGTGAGCTCCCATTGCTTGGTCCCTGCTCCTGCCAACCTAGCAGTTCGAAAGCACGTCAAAAGTGCAAGTAGATAAATAGGTACTGCTCTGGCGGGAAGGTAAACGGCGTTTCCATACGCTGCTCTGGTTTCGCCAGAAGCGGCTTAGTCATGCTGGCCACATGACCTGGAAAAACTGTCTGCGGACAAACATCGGCCTCTTCGGCCAGTAAAGTGAGATGAGCGCCGCAACCCCAGAGTCGTTCGCAACTGGACTTCACTTCCAGGGGTCCCTTTACCTTTATTATGCTTCCACTACAGCTGGAGTGGTGTAGGGCACACTAGGCAGAAGACTGAAGCCTTGGTCACTACAAAGACCCTACCTGCCCGCAGACTGCCTCGCCAGAGTGGTGCATGCTCTGGCTATCTCTCGCTTGGACTACTGCAATGCGCTCTATGTGGGGCTACCTTTGAAGGTGACCCGGAAACTACAACTAATCCAGAATGTGGCAGCTAGACTGGTGACTGGGAGCGGCCGCCGAGACCACATAACACCGGTCTTTAATAATAATAATAATAATAATAATAATTTATTATTTATACCCCGCCCATCTGGCTGGGTTTCCCCAGCCACTCTGGATGGCTTCCAACAAAATATTAAAATACAGTAATACGTCAAACATTAAAAGCTTCCCTAAACAGGGCTGCCTTCAGATGTCTTCATGAAAGACCTACATTGGCTCCCAGTACGATTCCGAGCACAATTCAAAGTGTTGGTGCTGACCTTTAAAGCCCTAAGCAGCCTCGGTCCAGTAAATCTGAAGGAGCTTCTCCACCCCCATCTTTCTGCCCGGACACTGAGGTCCAGCTCTGAGGGCCTTCTGGTGGTACCCTCGCTGCGAGAAGCAAAGTTACAGGGAACCAGACAGAGGGCCTTCTCAGTAGTGGGGCCCGCCCTGTGGAACGCCCTCCCACCAGATGTAAAAGAAACAAATACCAGACTTTTAGAAGACAGATGGGCGGGGTATAAATAATAAATTTCTTCTTCTTCTTCTTCTTCTTCTTCTTCTTCTTCTTCTTCTTCTTCTTCTTCTTCTTCTATGCCTCCACACACCACCAGCTTCCGAGATCTCACCTTGTATCCCCACATGCTTCCAAGCTGGCCCTGTGCACATCTTTAATGGCTCAACACTTCCTTTTTCATAAAATCCTTCCAACCTTCTACGGGAAAATTGGGACACGCCTCATATCGCTCTTCCCTGACAAGGCTTCCTGCTGCATCCCATCATAACATTGCGGAAGTGTCTGCCCTACCCTAGTCCCATTTCTTTCTTTCTCCATCTATAAGTAAAGAAAGAGACCTGGGTAAACAGATGAAGCGGACTCCCTGCTTGAAAAAGGGGGCTCACTTTTTTGCAGTTTGGAAGGGGAGAGAGCTGTGAACAACAGCAAAATTCTGCCCATCTTATGAGTGACCACTGTGGTGGAGAAGGTGGGATCTATAGGTGGAGAAGTTACTTAATTGTTTGGATGCTGGGCAGCTGCTGCAATAAGGCTCCTTGCTCCTTCCTTGTTCTTGTGCTCAACATAGATTCAGGGCAAGCACCACCCCACTCCATCCATTGCCTATCCAAAATGAGGGAAGTATGATAGAGAAAGCATTGCCCTCACTCCGAATCATCTTTATTTACTCTCACTCTGAATGAACTTTATTCCTCCTCACTCTGAACTAGCTTTGCCCCAGTGTCAAATCTTGGTCTTGTAACATTGTCAATGTGAGCAGCCGGGATTAATGTTGTGATGAAAAGCCACCACTGGAAAACAACGATCACACAGAAGCAGCTAAACAGGCACAAACAGTAAGCTCTCAAGTGTCTTCCGAGGAAAATTTCAACCCCTGCAAAGCCCACCTTTGTGCCAAAAATGTCCACCCATGAAGCCCTTTTATGGACTCAACAAAGAGCAGAGACCTTCAGGCCAACCTACATTACAAACTTAGACTGGTTTTTAATTTATTATTCTTATCATCATCTCCTGTAGGTAGCTGATGGTTTAGACCAGTGGTGGCCAAACTTGGCCCTCCAGCTGTTTTGGGACTACAGTTCCCATCATCTCTGACCACCGGTCCTGTTAGCTAAGGATGATGGTAAAGGTAAAGGGACCCCTGACCATTAGGTCCAGTCGTGGCCGACTCTGGGGTTGCGGCGCTCATCTCGCTTTATTGGCCAAGGGAGCCAGCGTACAGCTTCCAGGTCATGTGGCCAGCATGACTAAGCCGCTTCTGGTGAATCAGAGCAGCGCAAAGAAACGCCGTTTACCTTCCCGCCGGAGCGGTACCTATTTATCTACTTGCACTTTGACGTGCTTTCGAACTGCTAGGTTGGCAGGAGCAGGGACCGAGCAACGGGAGCTCACCCCGTCGCGGGGATTCGAACTGCCAACCTTCTGATCGGCAAGTCCTAGGCTCTGTGGTTTAACCCACAGCGCCACCCGCGTCCCTAGGGATGATGGTAGTTGTAGTCAAAAATACAGCTGGAGGGCTGAGTTTGGCCATCACTGGCTTAGACCCATGCACTGCGCAGAAACTCTATGGCAGTTAAGGTGATTTGTCAGCTCTCGCTGTCTTGCTAATTTCTCCAGAAAGAGACATTATTATATTTAACTGTCACGGCTTTCCCCCCAAAGTCCTGTGAATTGTAATTCAGTGAGTACGCTGAGAATACTATATAATAAAACTTGGGTTCCATAGGAAATTACATTTAAGTAGTAGAGGAGGGAGAAAGGTTGTTTTCTGCTGCTCCAGAGAAGCAGACACGGAGCAATGGATCCAAACTACAAGAAAGAAGATTCCACCTAAACATTAGGAAGAACTTCCTGACAGTAGGAGCTGTTCGACAGTGGAATTTGCTGCCAAGGAGTGTGGTGGAGTCTCCTTCTTTGGAGGCCTTTAAGCAGAGGCTTGACAACCATATGTCAGGAGTGCTCTGATGGTGTTTCCTGCTTGGCAGGGGGTTGGACTCGATGGCGCTTGTGGTCTCTTCCAACTCTATGATTCTATGATTCTATGATTCTAGTTCTGAGTGGTGCAGCAATGCCCTCTAAAACAGGAGCACTGACTCGTGCAAACAAACACACACTTTGCTTCATGTTGCAGCCTCTGTCAATATTTTTTTGGAGAGGGGAGGCAGTTAAGGATCAAAGATCAGGGGTTTCGGATACAATAAAGGCTCAGTGGCTAGGGAAACGAGCAAGAGCTAAGGTGGGAGAAGACAATCCCTGCTGAAGTTGCACCATGGACCTTCTGCACAGCGCAGGGGTCCAGGCCACCAGCTACCTCCAGGAGAACTTCATGGGCTACCAGGACTGGTTTGTCTTCATCTCCACAGTCGCTGACCTCAAAACTACTTTCTTTGTCTTCTTCCCCATCTGGTTCCAGCTGAAGGAGGAAGTGGGAATCCGACTCATCTGGGTGGCTGTGATCGGTGATTGGTTGAACCTGGTTTTCAAGTGGTGAGCGCGGAGTCTAAGAATCCTGATCACCCCATTTGAGGGTCAGGAACAAGTTCTCTTCTTGGTCATATTGCCCAGACAGAGACCACAGGGGCTCCCCTCCCCATTCCCTGTAGTCCCACTTCTTAACCTGAGCCAGGACTCTGTCCTGGACACTGTTTTCCAGGACTATGCAAAGTAGCAATTTAGGTTTGGTCTGAACATAATGTCAAAGCTTAGCTTGATATTATAAAAAGAACCCCGTTGTCCAGATTTTGATGCTGTTTTTCAGGGCCAGAGCAAACCATAGTTTACTGGTTCAGATGTGATGGCAAACTATGGTTTGACCCAAACTAAGAAGGAGCTAATTAAGCTGAGCTTGTGTGGAGCGGAAAGGGGCAGGAGCAAGCAGGCAGGTCTCTTTCCAGGCCCATTCTTGTAGTGCTAAATCACAGCTTTGCATTTCATATGAATCCTCTCCCGGAGAATGCCTTTGACTGCTTCCAGAATGAATTCCCTGCACTGCTGACCACCCACAGCCTGGGTGTGAGGAGTCATGGAGGAGATGGTCGAATCCTGAAGACGATTGGGAGGAGCTTGGGGAGTTGGAGCTGGACAATCCTGGGTGCGGGAGGTAGATTTGGGATCCCGAAAAGTGTCCGAGGCTGAGGAGCAGGCTAGCAGTCAAGTGTGTGGAGAGCTAGATCCAGAGGAACTGGAGTCAAGGAGGTTGGCAAAGGAGTGCCCTGCCCTTGTGGCATCAGACACCCCAAGTCTCACACCTCTGTTGCCTCCTCCTGTTGGTAAGGAGCCTCTGGGGAGGAAACAGAGTAAATAGGGTGCTCAGTTGCTTCTGACAAAACCTCCATCTCCAAAGACACAGAGACTCTGGCATGGGTATGAACAGACCTAGCAAACTCAACCCATTCCATGCCCATTTGCTTGCCCATTCCTAGGACTCCCACTGCTTGCTTCACCAATGCTGTGCCCTTCCTGCTACTCAAAAGGAAGATGGAGGGGGCATGTCGCTTGTTGGATCAACATGTCAACATATTAGCTTGGGTTTAGCCATCTATCTAGAGCAGGGGTAGGCAACCTAAGGCCCAATCGCCATCTCAATCCGGCCTGCGGACTGTCCGGGAATCAGCGTGTTTCTACATGAGTAGAATGTGTCCTTTTATTTAAAATGCATCTCTGGGTTATTTGTGGGGCCTGCCTGGTGTTTTTACATGAGTAGGATGTGTGCTTTTATTTAAAATGCATCTCTGGGTTATTTGTGGGGCATAGGAATTCGTTCATTTCCCCCCCAAAAAAATATACTCCGGCCCACCACATGGTCTGAGGGACGGTGGACCGGCCCATGGCTGAAAAAGGTTCCTGACCCCTGATCTAGAGTTCTTATGTACCGGCTGCACCTTATAAGCTGCGCCTTGCCTAGTTACCGATCTGATTTACGTTTTAAAACCTTCGTCGGAAACTGGACTGGGAGTTTGACTTCTCCGTCCGGTGGCAAGGGCCAGGGCAGTTGTGGGGTAATCAAACTTTCTTTCTTTTCTTTTCTTTTTTGGAAAGGAAGCACTCCTTGGTTCACTTGCTTGAGTAATATGGAATAATTTATTTGTTCTGTAGGTGCTTTCCCATCTCATGGTCTGGACATTGTAAGTGGCTCTGGGGAGAAGTTTTGCCTTTGTGTCAGGAAGGAGACTGAATTATCTTTGGTACTTTCAAACACTGTGATTCTATGAATCCTCCATTTCCAGAATTTGCCCTAAAAAGGCAAATCATGGGATTGTGATTAACTTAAGAAGTAGCCAAATGTACATAATTTTCTTTGATTTTCCTCCTTTTTCCCTCTCCCCCTCCCTTTCTTTTTCTTCTTTTTGCAAAATGCAGTTTTATTTTGTAGAATTAAATGAAAATTGCTTCATCATGGATTGGCGATTCAGATTTCTGATAGTTGTTTGATGGTTTTTAAACATGGATAGGCTACCTTTCTATTAAAATACTATTCAAAGGGCTTTCAAAGAATTTTAAAAACCATCTAAGAACAACAAAGAGAAGCACAGGTAACTCAGAATAAAGGTATTTTTTAAATTTAAAAGATCTCAATAAATAAAATCAGGAATTAAAAACTGTAGCAAGGAATTAAAAATGAAAGCAATATTAATTAAATGTGAATGTCTATAAGAGGAAGAGAGAGGGAGAGGAAATGTGGCAGGGAACTAGAAGTCTTGAGTACAAAATAATCACACCAGTCTTTTCCAGTTCCTGAAGCCTTTAACATTAGGATGCAAGTTTGTTATTACTCTGAAAACATGGAAGGCTAGGTTTTTGTTTTTCTTCTGAGATGGATTTACTGAGGTAACTGGAATAGGCAGTGGCAATTTCTTGCCTCCTAGCCGATCTTACATCTTCTGGTTTCTGGGGGCCCAACCACCACTCCTTAATCTTCCCTCCTTACAGGATCCTGTTTGGACAGAGACCTTACTGGTGGGTACGTGAGACCGATTACTATGGCACCGCAACACGCCCTGCGATCCAGCAGTTTCCCATCACCTGCGAAACTGGCCCAGGTGAGGTTGAAGCTCTTCTCCCTCTGCTTTCTTTAAGTGGCTGTAAGACCTCCCCCTTTCATTTACACTTGTGTCTCTCCCCTCCAGGCAGCCCCTCTGGTCACGCCATGGGGTCTTCTGGGGTCTACTATGTCATGGTGACAGCCCTGCTGTCGCAACTCTTGCCGCTGCAGAGAGAGACCTTGGCTGCCAGGTGAGGCCCCTGCTCTCAACCTGCACCAACACTATTAACAAAATAAAAATAAAAATTCCTTCCAGTAGCACGTTAGAGACCAACGAAGTTTGTTATTGGTATGAGCTTTCGTGTGCATGCACACTTCTTCAGATACACCTAAACAGAAGTCACCAGACCCTTATATATAGTGAGAGGGTGGGGATGGGTATTACTCAGAAGGGTGGTGGGAATGGGTGATTGGCCGATAGGTGTGGTAAACCTGTTGACGACTGCAATTGGTCTTACAGGAAAAAGCAAGGGGTAAGATGGCTCAAAATAGCTTTATCATGTATAATGAGATAAGAATCCAATGTCTCTATTCAGACCAAGTCTCTCCATGGTTTTAAGTTTGGTAATAAGTTGCAATTCAGCAACTTCTCTTTCCAGTCTATTTCTGATTTTAGTTTAGTTTAGTTTAGTTTAGTTTTTAGTTTAGTTTAGTTTAGACTACGGCAGACCAACACGGCTGTACAGACCAACCTGTAACTAGAACCATCAATATTAGTATACCACCCTATACATGCAGGTCTCAGATGTTCAGAACAGCTGGGACCTTACTTTTAGGAAGACAATGTGATGCTATCTCAACAGGAGAGCATCTCAGAACAATTTTGCTCCTCCATACTTCCAAGGAGACAAGAACTGCTGCCCCCGGGGTGTAATGACAATCTAGTGCAAATACTGTTAATGGGTGGTTCCCTAGACCAGATGGATGGGAGGTTGCCTGCTCTTGATGGGGTTACGCTCCCTCTGAAGGAGTGGGTACACAGTTTGGGGGCGCTTCTGGAGCCTTTGCTGTTACTTGAGGCTCAGGTGGCCTTAATGGCTCGGAGTTCCTTCCATCAGCTTCGACTGGTGGCCCAGCTATGCCCCACCTGGACAGGGATAACGTAACTTCTATGGTCTACGCTCTTGTAACGTCAAGGTTAGATTACTGAAACACGTTATATGTAAGGCTGCCTCTGAAGACGACTCGGAAACTTCAGCTGGTGCAGAATTCAGCAGCCAGGTTGCTCACGGTTTGAGCATATTACACCGATCCTGGCCTGACTGTACTGAATGCCAATTAGTTTCAATTCAAAGTGCTGGTTTTGACCTATAAAGCCTTAAACAGCTCAGGACCACAATATCTCAAGGACCGCCTCTCTCCATATGAACCTACCCAGACCCTGAGATCATAATCTTAGGCCCTTGTACATGTGCCTCCTCCATGAGAGCTCTAGAGAGTGGCAATACGAGAGCAGGGCCTTTTCAGTGGTAGCTCCCCATTTGTGGAATGCTCTCCCCTGGGAGGCTCACCTGGCGCCTTCATTACATATCTTTAGGAGCCAGGCAAAAACATCCCTTTATCCCCAATTGAGCAATCTATGGCATTTTAAATGTGTTTATGGGAGGGGGTAGGGGAAAGGGGGGAGGTTGTTTTGTTATTGTTTATATTATATGTTATGTGTTTTATATTGTATTTTTATGCTGTGAACCACCCTGAGATCTGCGGATTAAGGGTGATATACAAATTTAATCAATAATAACAATAATGTTAATGGCAGTACAATATAGAAAAATGGAAAGATATGAAGGCTGTCAGTCTGCCACAGGGTGAATTGGTCAGAGCCCTGATAAGTTAGCATTTAAGATAATTGCAATTAAACATTACCTCAGCAAAAGGGGGGGGTTTCTTTTTTTAATAGCCTCTACATTGCCTTTCTATGCAAAATCTCGCTTCAACGTGTCTTTGAATTTCAGCTTACTGAAATTCTGTCCAGTTTTGGAATATTGGGAATATTTATGAGCAGGATGAGACATCCTGCTGTACCACTCCTCCCATGAGCCACAGCCAGCTTGGGCAATGGTGAGGGATGCTGTAGTCCAGCAAGATAGAGAGGAATAAGGTCCACTATCCCTGCTTTTTGAAGGGTCTGTTGAGTAGATCATCTTAAAACCATCCCATGGTAAATTCACACAAATTGTGGGATGCAGCCTTTGACCGCAGTGGTTGTGGGAGACAAGTTCGCTGTCAGGGGCTGAGACTGAGGAGGAATGGTGAGGGCCCTCCCTTTCTCCTGAACCTCCCCAAGAACAGGAGGACAGTATAGATTTAGAACAGTGGTTTGCAGAAGGTCACAGTTCAGAGGCTGCAGAGTGGAGAAGCTGAGAAATACTGGGGGAGCAGCAGGAAGAAGCAGCACCAGGGAAGAGACAGCTGACAGACTCAAAAGCATTCCTGACCCCCCTCTCCAGGACCAGATGAGCATTGAGGGTAGTAGAACAAAAAGCTCAGAAGCAGAAAGCTATTAGCCGGCACGGGGTTACGTAGAATAGGAGAGACGTAGGGGGTGGGACTTTACTTGGAGCAATGCCATTATCTAGGGGAGACCGCATTCCTTCGTCTCTCTCTGTGACTACTGAATATATTACTTGGTAAGAACTCCTGATTTCTCTGCTTCTTGGCTGCCACTGGGGGAGGGACTGAATTCCCTGAAGCCTGACATTTGCTGACTCTTGCCATTAGGCTGTGGCTACAGAACTGGCTTTCTCAAGCAAGGCAATCTTTTCCTCAGCAAGAGAGAGAGAGAGAGGAATCGTGGCTCTAGATCTCAAAGATTTAGATCAGCCTTTCTCAACCTGTGGGCCCCCAGATGTTGTTGGACTACAACTCCCATCACCGCTAGCTAGCAAGGCCAGAGCTCAGGGATGATGGGAGTTGTAGTCCAACAACATCTGGGGGCCCACAGGTTGAGAACCGCTGATTTAGATGGTGGCGTGGTAAGATAATTCCTGCTTTTGCTCTGGTCTGAACAAGTCCCCCTCACTCCCAGGTGTCTGCGTGGTCTCCTCTGGGCGGGATTCTGGACTGTGCAGGTCTGCGTCTGCTTATCTAGAGTCTTCCTCGCTGCACACTTCCCACACCAAGTGATCTCAGGTGTGATCTCGGGTGAGTTTTTCCTAGGCTTTTAGCTGCACAACGAAATTTCTGCGCACCAGCGAAGAGGCCTTTATGCACTAGAAACAGAAGACGGTTAGAAGGTGTGTGTGTACTGGCCTCGGTCCAGTATACCTGAAGGAGCGTCTCCACCCCCATCGTTCTGCCCGGACACTGAGGTCCAGCCCCGAGGGCCTTCTGATGGTTTCCTCACTGTGAGAAGCCAAGTTACAGGGAACCAGGCAGAGGGCCTTCTCAGTAGTGGCGCCCACCCTGTGGAACGCCCTCCCTTCAGATGTGAAGGCAGCCCTGTTTAGGGAAGCTTTTAATGTTTAATAGACTACTGTATTTTAACATTCTGTTGGAAGCCACCCAGAGTGGCTGGGGAAACCCAGCCAGATGGTATAAATAATAACAATAAATTATTATTATTATTATTATTATTATTATTATTATTATTATTTTATTATAGAGTCAAACAATATGCATGTTGCTAACATTTGTCTTGGGTCACAGAATCATAGGGTTGGGAGGGACCCAAAGGAGTCAAACGCCCAGCAATGCACGAATATGCAGTTGTCCCATACAGAGATTGAACCAGCAACCTTGGATCCAGGTTGATCTTTGACTGGAGTCAGGAGGAAATAATTTTACCCCAGGCCAAATTGAATATTGTTGTTGGTGACTTGTAACCTTGCTCTCTGCTGTGATATGTGTGGCATGCTTTGCTTGTAGGAATCATCTGGAACCACCGCTGTATAATGCTCTCCCCAGGGACACCTGCCTGGCGCCATTCCTTTGGCACCACACAAATGATTTTTGTTTTCCTGGGAATTTGGGCAGTGCCAATTATATCATAGGGACATGGGTGGCACTGTGGGTTAAACCACAGAGCCTAGGACTTGCTGATCAGAAGGTCGGCGGTTCAAATCCCCACGACGGGGTGAGCTCCCGTTGCTCGGTCCCTGCTCCTGCCCACCTAGCAGTTCGAAAGCACGTCAAAGTGCAAGTAGATAAATAGGTACCGCTCCGGCAGGAAGGTAAACGGCGTTTCCATGCGATGCTCTGGTTCGCCAGAAGCGGCTTAGTCATGCTGGCCACATGACCCGGAAGCTGTATGCCGGCTCCCTCGGCCAATAAAGCGAGATGAGCACTGCAACCCCAGAGTCGGTCACAACTGGACCTAATGGTCAGGGGTCCCTTTACCTTTTTTGGACCCTTGTGGGCACCCCATGTCCAGGTTCAAGGAGACACAGATGGGCCGCGCATAGCATTTGATAACCAATGCTTTGATGCACTAAATGGCCAACTGCTTATTCTCTAAAGTTCAACTCCCACTCAGCCCTGTATCCACAACTCTGAAGGGAGAGGCGTTGTGTGGATGCGTTTGTGGATATTCCGGCTAAACAGAACCGTCTCCCCCCTCCTCAGGGATGCTGGTGGCAGTGTTCTTTGAGCACGTCCGCTCCATCTACAACGCCAGCCTGAGGAGATACGTGGGCACCACTTTCTTCCTCTTTGGCTTTGCCCTGGGCTTCTACCTGCTGCTCAAGATGCTGGGGGTGGACCTCCTGTGGACGCTGGAGAAGGCCCACAAGTGGTGCGAGCGGCCAGAGTGGGTCCATATCGACACGACGCCCTTTGCCAGCCTGCTTCGCAACCTGGGCATCCTGTTGGGCCTGGGACTCGGCCTCAACTCTCCAATGTACGCGCAGAGCTGCAAAGGGAAGCGAAGGCAGTGGCTGGCCTTCCGCCTCAGCTGCATCGTTTGCTCCCTGTCCGTCCTGCACCTGTTTGATTCCTTCGAGCTGCCCACCGACAGGGAGAACTTGTTCTACATCCTCTCCTTCTGCAGGAACACCTGCGCTCACATCTGTGCTGTGGCGCTGATCCCCTACTGCATCTCCTGGCTCTTCCGGCAGACAAAGAAAGACGCATAGGGGGCAGAAAGTTTGGAACGCAGCCTTCTTGGACGTGGTTCCCCTGTTCCTGCTCTTGCAAGGGCCCTTGGGACTCGGGGCTAAAGCTTTACAAAACTTAGGAACGTTGCCAACTCTTTTGTGGGAGATGCAACCGAGCTCCTCTACAGATCGATGAATACGAGCTCCCACAGGTTAGCATCAAGAGCATTCTGACATCCAGGCAGGAACAGCACCAAGATACAGTGGTACCTCTGGTTACATATGCTTCAGGTTACATACGCTTCAGGTTACAGACTCCGCTAACCCAGAAATAGTACCTCGGGTTAAGAACTTTGCTTCAGGATGAGAACAAATCGTGCTCCGGCGGCAGGGCGGCAGCAGGAGGCCCCATTAGCTAAAGTGGTGCTTCAGGTTAAGAACGGACCTCCGGAACGAATTAAGTTCTTAACCCGAGGTACCACTGTACATAGAAAGCTGCCTTACATCAAACCATACTGTTGGTCCATCTAGACTGGCAGCGGATCTCCAGGATTACAGGCAAGGTTCTCTCCCAGCCCCACGGTGACAGGTGTAAATGTGTGTTGTGGAAAAAAATCTTCAGAGTCCAAACTTGAACAGAAAGATAGATGAAGCTCCTTTCTGTTTTAAAGCGAGCTGGGGGTATCTTGGGCATTCAATAGTAGTTTTTGCTGCAACCGATTGTTCTTTCTGCTCTCTGTTCTGGTGCCTTCTCTTGGGTTTCTTCCTGTCTCTCACTTTGAATGTATACACGCTTCTCCTTATTTGTCCCTATTCCTCTACCAGCCACAAGTCTCAGTCTTTCCTCTTTGTCATCTCACTTCAGTCTTGGATATCTGCATTTTGCCCTCTGTTCCAATTTAGTCTTGTGGGTTTTGTGGATGATTATTCCTAACATGCCTTCCATTGGCACAATATAGGTAGAAGACCCAAGTCTCTCTGGTAATGGTGGGTGTGTGGCTTTCTTATGTTAAAGGATGTCTTTTACTAGCAATACAACCCTAAGCAAACTTTCCAGGAAATGAATCAATGCACTGTCATATTGCTCAAGAAACAAAGTCACGTACAGTGGTACCTCGAATTACAGACGCTTCAGGTTACAGACGCTTCAGGTTACAGACTCCGCTAACCCAGAAATAGTACCTTGGGTTAAAAACTTTGCTTCAGGATGAGAATAGAAATTGCGCAGCGGTGGCGGGAGGCCCCATTAGCTAAAGTGGTACCCCAGGTTCAGAACAGTTTCAGGTTAAGAACGGACCTCTGGAACGAATTAAGTACTTAACCCGAGGTACCACTGTATTCAACAACTTCTAGGTTAGCAAGAAAACTCTGGCAGACAGTAGTAAAGGTAAAGGGACCCCTGACCATTAGGTCCAGTCGTGACCGACTCTGGGCTTGCGACGCTCATCTCGCTTTATTGGCCGAGGGAGCCGGCGTACAGCTTCCGGGTCATGTGGCCAGCATGACTAAGCTGCTTCTGGCAAACCAGAGCAGCGCACGGAAACGCCGTTTACCTTCCCACCGGAGTGGTACCTATTTATCTACTTGCACTTTGACGTGCTTTCTTTTCTTTCTTTTTTTAATAATTTTTATTAAATTTCATATTTCCAAATTAAACACATCAAATCAATTTGTCCAAATTACAACAATACATATCATATAATCCAATTGTTTTCCAAATTATAAATTTTTGTGGGGGGTACCCATGCTTCTTGATTGGCAGGAGTCCAATCCTCGAATATTTGTTCTGCTTCCATATTAAGAATGATGTTTCCAGTTTCCTCTTCTCAAAACTTGTCATTACTCATTTTCCTTTCCATTTTCCTCCGATATGCTCCGCAAGTGGGTTGAAAAAGACAGTCTTATTTGTATTTCTGTGTGGGCTTTGTGCTGCTCTTTCGTAAATCACTCTCCTCCAACAGTCCTTTCCGCTCGAGCGAGTAATCGCCATTTTTGTCGTTCCGATGAAATACAGTCTAGAAACTCGCTCTTTAGCTTTTCCGACCTGTTGCATCGTAAATTAGTCTTTTTGCAGGAGGGCTGCCTCTTCCAGTTCACAATCTCCTCGAAAATAATATATCTTCGGCTTGCTCTCCCCAAGACCAACTCCAGCAACACAGGTCTCTTATCAAGTTTCCATTCTTACTGCGTCACAAGAGAGAGCCCTTCTTCTTTCCAAATCCTTCACAGAGTAAAACCTTTAAGTTCATAATTATTCCCACACAATTCATTTTTAGTCCCATTTGCAATTAATTTCTGAGACAGATCTTCAGGGGGAGGGTTATTAATAATCACATAGAGCAAAAGAAATAAAAAGTCGTTTCCCCCCCCTTAGTTCCGGCATTCCAATCCACATACCATATTTGTAGTACTTTGATGTAATCTTCCATCTCAGTCCGTCTCAGTCTTCTTCCTTTCAGTGGTAAAATTGTTAGCAGATAAAAACCTCCTGCCTCTCTTGAAGCATGTGCGTTATCTTTCACCAATTTTTTTCCTTTTAAGTAACGCAACTAGTTTCGCTCCTGGAAGTAGCTTCGGAGGAGTTCCGAGGCCCGCCGAGGGTTGTGCACCCAGTGCCTCACCCCCTCCTTCTTCCGAACTCGGGGGTGATTTATGGCAACAGCGGGTGAAAACGGCATCTCTCCCCCCTGGAGAGATGAAGGGAGACTGATATACTCCCCATAATCAGCCTCTAATTACCTCGTGCGAGCTGGATAGATGTTAATATCCGCCATCTTCCAAGGCGCCCCCTAGCGGCCCCTCACTTTGACGTGCTTTCAAACTGCTAGGTTGGCAGGAGCAGGGACTGAGCTGTGCTTAATGCCCAAACATATCTGACTCCCTCCTGACAGTGGGGCGGTCCTTGGTGAGGTTTACTCCTCCATAAGCACATTTTAAGATACAAACATCTAGCACTGTCTGCCTTTGGGGCACCTTGAGTGTAGTGTGCAGGGAGCCTCCAGAGGCCCAGCTGAAGTGGTCAAAAAGAAAGAGAAAAGAAGTAGCAAACACCCGCGGGGCTTGATTTGGGATCAAGACCGATTTGGGGTCGTGCAAAAATCAGTGCAAGGTCTCAGAGGGACTCTCTATGTCTTTCTCCAGCATTAACAGGGGGAAGTTCCTTCTAGGAAAGACAGCATTGGCTTCCAGGAATGCTTCCCCTATCCATCCCTCACTTTTACCCCCCCCCTTGAAATCTCTCAGTTCACTGCTGTTTCCAAATCAGACCACCAGTCTCCTTTGTTGACACTGCCACACTGAAAGCAAGAACACAAAGGGGGAGGAATCCTTAAGTTTATTACTTTACAGTCCTTAAGAACGGTGGCTCGGTTTTCATATTCACAGTGCGCCATTTACTCCCGTTGTCCATCCCATCACTGCTCTGTGCTCCGTTCGCTGACAAATGTCCGCAGGAGGGCTTCCACCTCTGGCCGCCGGCTCATCCGCGTGGCTTTGCCCTGGTAGCGGCCCCGCTTCCCAGCCCCTTTTCCTTCCAGCAGTTCCGCCACCCTTCAGGGAAGAACAGCAACAGGGTCAGACTAGCTTCTCCTTGCCCCACATTTGCTTTGTTGGTCAATGGGCTCTCATAGAGTACAGTGGTACCTCAGGTTACAGACGCTTCAGGTTACATACACTTCAGGTTACAGACTCTGCTAACCCAGAAATACTGCTTCAGGTTAAGAACTTTGCTTCAGGATGAGAACAGAAATCGGGCTCTGGCAGCAGGAGGGCCCATTAGCTAAAGTGGTGCTTCAGGTTAAGAACAGTTTCAGGTTAAGAACGGACCTCCAGAACGAATTAAGTTCTTAACCCGAGGTACCACTGTACAGTCGTACCTTGGCTTCCAAACGCCTTGGTATGTGTGCGTTTTGGCTCCCAAGCTCCACAAACCCAGAAGTGAGTGTTTCCGGTTTGCGAACGTTCTTTGGAATCCGAACATCTGATGCGGCTTCCGACTGAGTGCAGGAAGCTCCTGCAGCCAATTGGAAGCCGCACCTTGGTTTTCAAACGTTTTTGGAAGTCAAACGAACTTCTGGAATATATTCCAAGAGCCACGCCTAGGGCTGGGCGATCTCTGGTTTTCAACATTGCGCTATATCACAAGCTCCACATTGCGATATACCAAAAGAGCACAATGTTTGAAATAGGGATGGAACTATATAGAGCAGGCATAGGCAAACTCGGCCCTCCAGATGTTTTGGGACTACAGCTCCCATCATCCCTAGCTAACAGGACCAGTGGTAAGGAATGATGGGAATTGTAGTCTCAAAACATCTGGAGGGCCGAGTTTGCCTATGCCTGATGTGGAGGCATTGGCCGGCTTCATGATTTTTCCCACACTGTGAATTTTGCATAGCAAACACACACACACACACACACACACACACACACACACACGATTCATGATATATTGCCAGGTCAACAATAATGAAGCCAATATCGTGATATGGACTTCAAATCGGTTTTGGATGATATACTGCTATATCGCCCAGCCCTAGCCATGGCCTAGCCTGCCTGATTTGTTTCAGCCCTGCAACCGCTACATGAATTTGCTTGTCTCTCTCTTTCAAAGACTCCCAGAAAACTGTGATTCTTTTCTTCCTGACCGACCAAAATGAACATCCATGCTCCCTCCCCAACACACACACCAATCCAGGCCTGAATTTATCCAGCTGGCTTGAGTGACTCACCTGGGGCCCAGTTTCTCCACAGCGTCTGGGGGTCCCGCGAGCAGAAAAAGCCCAGCTGCTTTTTCATCTCCCACAGATAGGAAAAGGAGGCTTTCCTGCTGGAAGAAGGTTGTTTACAACAACAAAATATTCAACGAAGAACACACACACTTTATAATAATCTGATGCAGAGAGCCATAATAAAACATAACATATGGAGGTCCACAGGTAAACAGACCGTGCCATAAATGGAAATGTCACCAAGCTAATGAATAAAGCTTTTAATCTTTCGGGGTGTAAGCAGTAGTCATGGATGCAAGAACCAAACCAAATTTAGCTTATCCGGGGCAGTCAAAATCCTGGAAACTGTAGGTGTGTGGAGGTACACTATTTGTTCTCAGGATTCTTTGTGACATCACCTCTAAATATATGGTGTGGATGTGACTTTAAATTCAGTGATATTTTCTAAATTTTGCTATGATCTCTTTATTCTTAATTGGTATTTGGTAGCGTCACATTAAATAGCGGTATTTTAACCACAGAAGTTGGAACAAAACTGTTCCTATTTTCTAACTACAGGTGCTCATTGAATCAATTCTATCTCCTCCTCCTTTATATCACATTAGATTTTATAGCTACTCTGCACGCTGTGAGCTGCTACTTCTGTAACCAGCTGTCTTAATTTTAATTTCACTTTTGATGTGTCAGCTGCATGATCTGAAACAACAATTAAGTTTTTAAAGGCCTGACTGGATCTGATTTGTGTTGAGATGATACGCTGGAGGTGGGAACCTTTCCAGCTCAAAGTAGGGAGCCTTCAGCACCTCTCAAAACACCACTATATCCGGTGCCAAAGCTCAGAGAAACAAGAGAGAGATACTCACCCCAGCGCCAATCTCATTCGCAATGATGTTCATGAACTCAGAATCACCGTCTTTCCTGCAAGAGAGGGAAAATGCGAACAATCCAGATTGAGGAAGCGAGCCAAGAGGAAGCCCACCAGCTTGCGCCTCCGTTTAAATGGGTCCCGGCCACACCCCCACCAGCCAGCTGATTGGCTGGCTGGCTGGTCGCTGTTGCGGCTGGGATCTCCTGGGCAACGCGGGACTTCGTCCCCCACCCCCGGAGGAGAGTGGGTGGCCACGCGGTCCACCGCAACTCCTCCCCACGGTGAAGTGGAGCGGACTTCCCCATCCCAAGACCTGAGAAAGCAGGATGCAAAATGCTACCTCTGCCACACCTTTCCCTGGTGGTAACGCACCAGCCCCGCGAGAAAGAAACCAGTAACGACTAGACTGGCTTAAGCAAAAAAAACCAAAAACAAGCATTAATAATTCATTTGGGTTGCATTGATCCACAGTGCGTGTGTGTTTTTTTTAATTAAAAAATATATAACACACAATTTTGCTTTGACGGGCCTCAAAAACCTGTACAGTGGTACCTCGGGTTACATACGCTTCAGGTTACATAACGCTTCAGGTTACAGACTCCGCTAACCCAGAAACAGTACCTCGGTTAAGAACTTTGCTTCAGGATGAGAGCAGAAATCGTGCTCCAGCAGCAGTGGTGCTTCAGGTTAAGAACATTTTCAGGTTAAGAATGGACCTCCGGAATGAATTAAGTACTTAACCCGAGGTACCACTGTACAGGTAAGGTGAGTGGGAACAGCAGTTTCTAAATGGGAGTTAAAAAATCAGCTGTACCTTTCAAGTGGCAAAGTAGAAAGCATCCAGAATTTTCCTCTTTTTTCTGGGTATTTTAAAGTCACCCCATGCAAACCCAACATGACCTTTCCCCTCACCTGTGCAAGACAAGAACAGGTTCTTGATCCAGGTTGTTTTTTAAACTCTGAGCTGTGAGGACAGCTAAATCCCTCAGCAGGTTCAAGTTGCTCTGAAAGAGAAGCAGACGTCGGAAAGCGGACATAGCAGTGGAGTGTGTTTTCATGGTGCCGGAGGGCGGGGGGAGCTCGTGTGTGCAGGGGCACGGGGGTGAACAGAGCCTGCTGCATGCTGGCCCGGCCCTCGCCGCTGGCAAAACCGGAGCGACACCAGCCCTGAGCCACTTTGCAAGGTGGGATCTGTTCAGATCCCAGCCTCACAAAGCGGGACAGGGCTGACTTGGGGAGGTGGGGTGTCCCCCAGAAAAATGTGCCTGGGGCAATCACCCTGGCAGCCCACCACCCCTCTGTTCCAATACTCAACCAAGAGTGATGGGATGGAGCAGGCAGGGAATTTCTGGCAAAGTCTTCCTGAACCCTGGTTCTGATTGCTGTCTTACTTCCCATGGCCTTTCTACAGGCTGCTTACTGGAGTCTGATCTCAGCTGCTGCCTGCATGACCCACAGATGATCATGTGGTTGTTATCATTACAGTGGTACCTCTGGATACGCACACCTCTGGTTGCGTATCCTTTGGGTTACACACGCGGCAAACCCGGAAGTATTTTTCCGGGTTTCGCCCCGCGCGCATGCGCAAAGCGCTCTACCACACCACGTGCATGCGCAGAACAGGCACCTCCAGTTGAGAATTCCTCGGGATCTGACCGGAGCTCTGGAACAGATGCCGTGTGCAACTGGAGGTAAGGGTAAAGGGGACCCCTGACCATTAGGTCCAGTCGTGGCCGACTCTGGGGTTGCGGCGCTCATCTCGCTTTATTGGCCAGCATGACTAAGCCGTTTCTGGTGAACCAGAGCAGCGCACAGAAACGCTGTTTACCTTCCCGCCGGAGCGGTACCTATTTATCTACTTGCACTTTGACGTGCTTTCAGACTGCTAGGTTGGCAGGAGCAGGGACCAAGCAATGGGAGCTCACCCCATTGCGGGGATTCGAACCACCGACCTTCTGATCGGCAAGTCCTAGGCTCTGTGGTTTAACCTACAGCGCCACCCGCATCTCATGCAAGTGGAGGTACCACTGTATTATTATTATTATTATTATTATTATTATTATTAGCAGTAGCAATAGTAGTAGTAGTATACTGCCCTTCATCCGTAGATCTCAGGGCAGTTCCCAACATAAAAACACCAGAGATGGAAAGAAGATAAAGTCCCTGCCAGAGAAGAATGGCAGATCAAGTTGACGGACTATGTCAAAATGGCTAAAATGACCGGAAGAACCAGAAAGGCCAAAATTTTAATAATGGGGAAAATTTATAACTTGTCTTAAAGACCATTGTCAACAGTTTAAATCATTAGTAGGGTTGGAATATTGCTTGTAGTTTAATGGTGAATTTTGGATACAACGGAGAGATAAAAGATTTGGATTATTACAAAAGATGCAGGAGGAAATGATTAACAATAGGAACCCACAAAGGGGAGGAGGGAAGTCCATGAGATTCCTTGGAATCTTGTTATTATGTTGTATGTTGGACATGTGACTGTAAAATTTTAATCTGAAAAGCCAAATAAATAAATTTATTTTTAAAAAAATAAAAACACAGTATAAAAAAACAGAAAACACATAATAAAAATAATGAGCAATCTCCCATTAAAAGCTTGTTGGTGGCTCTCTCTGCTCCCAATGGAATAGGGAACCTTTTTTTCTAACCAATGTCTGTCAATGTCCCCATGGCCAACCTCACGGGAGTCACATACCAAAGCTGAGCCGGGACAGAGGCAAAATTGGGTAGGGCAACAGCTGTGGCTGCACAGGCAGGCTGCATTTCAACTGCACGAAAGTCAAGACGTTTTGACATATGCCCACCCATGTCTCCCCACTCCAAGCAAGCAAGAGGCTTTCTTGCAGTTCGAGGGCACATTCCAGCCAGGCAGAAACTGTCTGAAGGAGAGGGCAGAGAAGGGCCATAGCTTGGGGATACTGGGTGTGGCGTGGGAAGACTCCTGATGTTCAGACAGAAAGCCACCTGTTATGACTACCGGCTTGGGTTGCTCGAGAGCGAACAGGCAAGATCCCGATTGGTCTTTCAAAGGCTTTATTATTGGTGCAAAAACATTTACAGTGCAGAACGCCTCAATTCCATGTCTTGCTCAGTCACTAGCAGAATCTGAGAGTGGGCGGTCCTTAAACTTTCCCCGGCAGAGTAGTCTCTTGACCCCCATCCGACGCCTCCCCTCTCTGCGCGTAAACCTACTGTGCAGGGAGGGCGTGGGTAAAGGGGGACCTGCCTCCCCCCCCCCGCTTTGCTCAGGCACGGTGTCTTGGCTCTCTCTTGTATCCTCCGAGTCCTGCATCTCTTCCCCACTAGAGGTGGGGGCTTCCCTCCTCCGCTGAGGAAGTGCTGCTTCCCACGATCTTTGGCGGCTCCCTGCAATCCAGCTGCCCTTCCACCTCTCGCCTCTGAGCTGATGGCAGTTCCCTGACACCGCCTTTGACCTTTCGGGACCTGGGATTCCCCACCATGGCTCCAGAAACATTCACAGAGGAACGTGGCCATTGCTCAACTGTACCTTCTGAAGCAGCTTCAGAGAGTTCTGTAGCCTCTTTACAGCTTCCACGTGCTCTTCGGGGCCAGTCCTAAAACGGCAAAGGTAACCAGATGCCTTCAGGGAGGGTTGGTACATCATCTAATAAGACTACAAGCTTGGTGATGAGGGAGGAAAAGGTGGGAGGAAGTGAAACAGCTTGTGCTCAGTGGAGATGCACAACTGAACTGAGGGCCAATACCAACAGCTGTATTGTTTAGAATAGGTAAAGGTAAAGGCAGCCCTGACCATTAGGTCCAGTCGTGACCGACTCTGGGGTTGCAGTGCTCATCTCGCTTTATTGGCCGAGGGAGCCGGCATACAGCTTCCGGGTCATGTGGCCAGCATGACTAAGCCGCTTCTGGCGAACCAGAGCAGCGCACAGAAACGCTGTTTACCTTCCCGCCAGAGCGGTACCTATTTATCTACAGTGGTGCCTCGCAAGACGAAATTAATCCGTTCCGCGAGTCTCTTCGTCTTGCGGTTTTCTCGTCTTGCGAAGCACGGCTATTAGCGGCTTAGCGGCTATTAACGGCTTAGCGGCTTTAAGAAAAAGGAAACAAACTCGCAAGAACTCGCAAGACGTTTCGTCTTGCGAAGCAAGCCCATAGGGAAATTCGTCTTGCGGAACGACTCAAAAAACGGAAAACTCTTTCGTCTTGCGCGTTTTTCGTCTTGCGAGGTACCACTGTACTTGCACTTTGATGTGCTTTTGAACTGCTAGGTGGGCAGGAGCAGGGACCGAGGAACGGGAGATCACCCCGTTGCGGGGATTCGAACTGCCGACCTTCTGATCAGCAGGTCCTAGGCTCTGTGGTTTAGCCCACAGCGCCACCCACGTCCCTACAATTGTTTAGAATAGGCATCCCCAAACTCGGCCCTCCAGATGTTTTGGGACTACAGTTCCCACCATCCCTAACCACTGTGTCAGGAGCTCGTCCTACACTCAAGTAGGACGCTGGTAGAGACACATGCCCGCCTGGCATGTTCTCTCCCTCCTGGTCGATCGTTCGGGAGCTTCAAAAGCTTTCTTCTGCCTGAACATCACAGCGACCGATGTCAACAGACGTCGGCACACTTAGGGATCCGCAGAGTGTTCGCAGTTTGCGTGACAGACCTCCTCAGCAACTCAGCATTTTGGCTAATTATTTTATTTACATATAAACACACACGGAGCACTACAACATGGCTCCCCCCCCCCTCTCTAGCATCAGACAGCAAAGAGAAAGAACAAAGGACTTCACGGTCCCACTTCACGGAACACAGGAACACAAACGTCCTGTCTCCGTCACTTCCCACTCTGTGGAGTCAAAACATACACCGTCATGTGATAAACAACAATCTTACGACTGCAATCATGGAGCAGGAATTCTAACACACTGGTCCTGTTAGCTAGGGATGATGGGAGTTGTAGTCCCGAAACATCTGGAGGGCCGAGTTTGGGGATGCCTGGTTTAGAACGTAAGAAAGGCCTGCTGGATCAAGCTAATGGCCCATCTGGTCCAACATCCTCACAGTGGCCACTCAGATGCCTGTGGGAAGCTCTCAAGAAGTACATTTCTGAGCACAATTCAACGTCTTGGGGCTGACCTTTAAAGCCCTAAACAGCCTTGGCCCAGTGTACCTGAAGGAGCGTCTCCAGCCCCATCATTCAGCCCGGACACTGAGGTCCAGCTCTGAGGGCCTTTTGGCGGTTCCCTCACTGCGGGACATGAAGCTACAGAGTATAAGGCAGTGACCTTCTATTATTATTATTATTATTATTATTATTATTACAGTGGAACTTTGGTTGTCAAACGCCTTGGAAGCTGAATGTTTTGGCTTTCAAACGCCAACAACCCGGAAGCGAATGCTTCCATTTTCGAACGCGCCCCCGAGGTTGAACGGCTTCCGAGGTGCGTTTCTCCATTTTCCCAATGGATTTTGCTGACCAGCCGCTGCGCCTCGGTTGTCAAACGTTTCATTAGTCGAACGGTCTTCCAGAACGGATTACGTTCGACAACCAAGGTTCCACTGTATTATTATTATTTGTATATTGCCCTTCATCTGTAGATCTCAGGGCAGTTGCCAACATAAAAACACAATATAAAAAACAGAAAATGCATAATAAAAATACTGAATGGTCTCCTGCTCTGTGGAACGTCCTCCCATCAGATGTCAAGGACATAAAAAACTATCCGACTTTTAGAAGACAACTGAAGGCAGCCCTGTATAGAGAAGTTTTTAATGTTTTAAAACATTTAATGTTTTAATGCTTAATGTATTCTAATGGAAGCAGCCCAGAATGGCTGGGGCAACCCCATCAGGTGGGTAGCATATATTATTATTATTATTATTATTATTATTATTACCCAAGCATAAGAACATATTCTCCTCTTGTGGTTTCCAGCAACTGGTATTCAGACACAGTGCTGGCTTCAGAGTGTGCAGGCAGAGCACAGACGTTGTGGCTTGTAGGCCCTGAAAAACTTATCTTCCATGAACTTGTCCCATCCCCTTTTAAAACCATTGTTTGGGAATAGTTCTCTTTAAATCCATTTACGGTGTGGCTGTTGAAACCCTTCCGCTACTCATCCTGAGCCCTATGTTCAGACCAGAAATAACTGGCCCAACTTCTATAAACAACCAATTTGCCTATACAACTCACTATTTCTTGCCTTAAGGGAAAATCCCAACCTTTGTGTGCTTTTCCTTTCGAGAGTTCAAATGAAATTTGAAGGCCACTGGGTTTCCAATCACCCTTCTGGGACTTTTGTTTCATTCCCTGGGACAGGAGAATACAAATACTTGCTTAAGCAGTGATGTGAAGGACTTCTCGGCTGCATGGCTTCGCTCCAAAGTTTTCAGCACTCGGTTCCCAGCGAGGAAAACTAAGTTGGTCTTGTTCTTCTTCCCTTTTTCGGTGCCCAAGAGCTTAACCATCTTCAAAAGACAAACACATTCGTCTTGAGTGGTAAAATACTACATCTGCATGCGTCTATCCTGTCCCTTATATTGAAAGTGGGAAAAGGTCCAAGCTCAGTGGTAGAACATAGAACATCTTTTAATGTTTGATGTATTACAGTATTTTAATATTTTTTTGGAAGCCGCCCAGAGTGGCTGGGGAAGCCCAGCCAGATGGGTGGGATATAAATAACAAATTATTATTATTATTATTATTATTATTTGCCTTGCAAGGTCCCAGATCCATACCCTGGTATCTATCTCCAAGTGAAGATTTCTGCCAGAAACCTTGCAGAGCCTGTCCTGGGCAGCGGAAATAATCCACTGTTTACACATTGGTCTGATTTAGTGAAGGAAACTTCCTATAGTTCTACGCGTCCAGGCATTCGTTAGAAAAGTATAGGCAGGTAATTTAAAATAAGGATGATTCCCCAATTACTTCACTATCTGAAGGAAGCAATCACTTGTAAAATTTCTGGCTGACCACTGACAAGCAGCAGAGAAGCCTTGTTAGAAAAAAAAGGCGTCCAAATTGATTTACAATCCCTGGTATCTCTGGGTAGGGCCGGGAGAGAGATCCCTGCCTGAAATCCTGGACACTGAGCTAGCTAGACCAATGGTATAGATCACATAGATAGAGAGAATCTTTATTTGCATCAGCCACTAGCCATAGCAATAAAACAAAATGTACTGAAGATAGCGGTAAAAACATAACTATACAAAATACATTTGGGGGGTTTATGTCGATAATCAAATAAAAGATCTTATTCTAATTGCCCCCGCTAAAAACATTGCAGTTTTTGCTGTCACCTGATCATCTTGATCTACTAAAAGGACTCTGTAGCAATGTTTGAGCAACCCGGCGTGGACAGTATTGGAGGGGTAATAACCTCACTCCTCAAATCTTTATAAAGAGTGCAGGCCAGAAGCACATGACCCGCTGACTCAATACTGTCATCTCCACAGGGAGATACCCATTTTTCCAGTGGAATGTTTTGAAGTCAACCCTCAAGTACAGCCGAAGGCAGTATATTCAATCTTGCGAAAGTGATGGCGCGCCTGTATTTTGGAATTGCTAAATTTTGCAAATAGGGTGCCAAAGTGTCAAAACGATTAGGTGGGAAAGAATCATACCATGGACAAAATTTCCTTACTGTGGCCAGACTATCCTGTTGCTCAATATCATATAGTAAAGGGGCCCCTGACCATTAGGTCCAGTCGTGACGGACTCTGGGGTTGCGGTGCTCATCTCGCTTTACTGGCCGAGGGAGCCGGCGTACAGCTTCCGGGTCATGTGGCCAGCAGGACTAAGCCGCTTCTGGCGAACCAGAGCAGCGCACGGAAACGCCGTTTACCTTCCCGCCGGAGTGGTCCCTATTTATCTACTTGCACTTTGACGTGCTTTTGAACTGCTAGGTTGGCAGGAGCAGGGACCGAGCAACGGGAGCTCACCCCGTCACGGGGATTCGAACCGCCGACCTTCTGATCGGCAAGTCCTAGGCTCTGTGGTTTAACCCACAGCGCCACCCGCGTCCCCAATATCATATGAGGCGCTGTCTAATTAAATTATTTGCTTTACTGAAGCTCAGAGTTACACCAATGGCAGCTTCTCATGTGTCACGAAGGGGCAGAATGTGTTCTCACAACAGATGTGAGTGGCAAGGCAGTCCTGTGCTCATTTGTGAGGGGGTCCAACCTGGCAAAAACCTTGATCCTGGTGCTGCAAGCCACACCCCGCCCCCATGACTCTCACCTGCAGGTCACTGAGATTAGAGATGTGCGTGCCACAACACATATTGGCATCGACACCCTCGATGCTTATAATCCGCACGGGCCCCGTGTGGTCGTCCGGCAAGCCACGGCTCCTCACCTGCAATGCAGTGCAAGGTTAAGAGAACCACACGTAGCAGACCTCTCTCCCTCCTCTTGCCTTAGCCCGCACGCTCTTGCTTACCAGCTCAACTTCAGGGTCGCCCACTGCCAGCTCTCGCACCACCACCGGGATCCTGGCTCGGATTCTGTCATTCACGCTCTGCTCAAGGGCTGCCACCTGATCTGCTGTCATCGAGGGGGTGTCCAGCTCTATAGTGCTTCGTTGGCGACCCAGCTCCCTGTTGAGGGTGGGAGAGAGGCAAACAGCATGTTCCCCAAGTCACACGGGAGATAGCTCTGGGTGCACAAGAGAGCTCCCTCTGTCCCCAGCCCTCCAGCATCGTCCTCTGAGGAAGGGTTACTGCACAGAAACTAGGCTAAGCCTGCCATCCTCTGTGCGTTTTCCCTGGGAACAAAGCCCTATTCAAGATTAATAATAATAATAATAATAATAATAATAAATTTTATTTATACCCCGCCCTCCCCAGCCAAGGCTGGGCTCAGGGCAGCTAACAAGCAATAATAAAAACAAGCTGAATGAATACAACTTAAAAACAAGATTAAAATACAACATTAAAATATTGAAACATTAAAATGCAGCCTCATCACAGGAGCAGAATGGAAAAAAGAAAGAGGGGGAGGGAATCAAATTGGCTCCAAGCCAAAGGCCAGATGGAACAACTCCGTCTTACAGGCCCTGCGGAAAGAAATCAGATCCTGCAGGGCCCTGGTCTCATGAGACAGAGCGTTCCACCAGGCCGGAGCCAGCGTTGAAAAGGCCCTGGCTCTGGTTGAAGCTAATCTAACTTCCTTAGGGCCCGGGACCTCTAGGGTGTTGCTAGTTATGGACCTTGAGGCTCTCCGTGGGGCATACCGGGAGAGGCGGTCCCGTAGGTACGAGGGCCCTAGGCTGTGAAGGGCTTTAAAGATCAAAACCAGCACCTTAAATCTGACCCTGTACTCCACCGGGAGCCAGTGCAGCTGGAAAAGCACTGGGTGAATATGCTCCCATGGCAGAGACCCCGTGAGGAGCCTCGCTGCTGCATTCTGCACCCGCTGGAGTTTCTGGGACAGCTTCCCAGATGATACATCTTCATGACTACACAATGATTTCATTTTAACCTTTGCTTCTGGGTTAAAGCAACAACAACATATTCCTTGTCAGTTAACAATGCAACGGTACCTCTGGTTGCAAACAGGATCCGTTCCGGAGCCCCGTTCGCAACACGAAAGGAACGCAACCCGCGTCTGCACATGTCGCGATTCGCCACTTCTGCGCATGCACGTGACGTCATTTTGTGCGTCTGCGCATGCGGCGAAACCCGGAAGTAACCCTTTCTGGGTCGCCGCGGGACGCAACCTGAAAATGCGCAACCTGAGGCAAACGTAACAAGAGGTATGACTGTATTAAGTCTGTAGGAGATTTGCTGGTGTAGGAAATTGTGGAAGTGACTTCTCAATAGGGCTCTGTGGGGAAAGGAACAATTAATAATAATAATAATAATAATATTATAATAATTTATTATTGATACCCCACCCATCTGGCTGAGTTTCCCCAGCCACTCTGGGCGGCTTCCAATCAAGTGTTAAAAACAATACAGCATTAAATATTAAAAACTTCCCTAAACAGGGCTGCCTTCAGATGTCTTTTAAAGATAAGATAGCTGCTTATTTCCTTGGCATCTGATGGGAGGGCGTTCCACAGGGCGGGCACCACTACCGAGAAGGCCCTCTGTGTGGTTCCCTGTAACCTCACTTCTCGCAATGAGGCAACCGCCAGAAGGCCCTCAGCGCTGGATCTCAGTGTCCGGGCTGAATGATGGGGGTGGAGACGCTCCTTCAGGTATCTCTCCATGCAACCTACCAACTCCACCCAGGAAATGTTAAGCTACAGAAACATGCATGGTGCCTATTCATATTCCAATGGCTACTGCTATTGCTGTGTGGAGTACTGGTGATTCGTCTGTATCAGTTTCATTACCGATTAATAACCTAGATATTGTTGTAGGCATCCGCCTGTCTCGAGAGACAATGGAGTGCGTCTCTGGGGGGTGAAGTCAAACTGCTATGTTACCAGCACCCAAGTGACCACCCTGGGCAGTGTGCCTGGAGGTCCTGGGCTGCCCAAACGACAAGACCCCGCTCTCGGCCTCGCTGACGTGGTCCAAAGGAAAGCAGAGCAAGGCATTTGGCACCAGTTTGGTTGCTGGAGTTGCCAGGAGGCGGCATACATGGAGTAGGGTTTACTCCTTAGCCCTTTCCTCTAGCCAAGACATCCCGCAAGGCAGTGGAAGTTAAGGATCAGTTTTCCTTCTCCCAGATGGCCAGGTTGACAAGCCCCATCTGCCCCTCACTTCCCTCTGCAGCATGTACAGAAACCGCCTTCTTGACCGTTGGACTCACTACTGGCCTTGTCAGTCCACCAGAGCCTGTCTTCACATGCAGGGGGAATCCCTAACTCACCAAGTTAATTCTCGCATTAAGTATTAGCAAATACGGAAAGAACTCTGGTCCAAGGTTGTTTACAAATCTGTCCTCCTTCCAAGCAGCTCATGAAGTTATTACTACCGTATTTTTTCTGTATATAAGATGCCCTCATGTATAAGACGCCCCCTATTTTTAAATAGTGTATAAGATGTCCCACAGTTTTCCACATACAGTGGTACCTCAGGTTAAGTACTTAATTTGTTCCGGAGGTCCGTTCTTAACCTGAAACTGTTCTTAACCTGAAGCACCACTTTAGCTAATGGGGCCTCCTGCTGCTGCCACGCCGCCGGAGCACGATTTCTGTTCTCATCCTGAAGCAAAGTTCTTAACCTGAAGCACTATTTCTGGGTTAGCGGAGCCTGTAACCTGAAGCATATGTAACCTGAGGTACCACTGTAAAAAAACCTAGCCTTATACACGGAAAAGTACGGTAAATACTCCAATGGTGATCTATGAAGATTCTTGCCACTCTGGGTGCCCCAATTTCTCTCAAGGTTTTGCAGCTCCCCTCTCTCAGACTCATACAAATGCTCAGAACACACACAAGCAGGGAGGAAAGCAATTAGGCAGAGGTGTGCCTTGCTCACCATGATGTCGTCTTGAATCCAAACATCAGATCCGCAATAGCTGTGATGAGATGCTGCCCTAAAAGAGACAATGATAATCGTCATATTGCCCATTATATCGAGACTCAAGAAAAGAGCTGATCGAGCCGATTCTGAGGAAAATACCTCGTAGTACAGACGACATCTATATCAGACACCTCTTAGCTGACAAAGACCCCGAAATCAACAGGCCTGTGGCGAAGTACTGTTACATTGCAACAAGAATAAGACGAGCAATGATAAACAGTAGTGACATTTGAATTGAATCCTTAAAACCTTAAAAGTCGAAACTTGGTCACAAACATAAGCACCAATTTTGTGATTTGGCCATATCTCCACTGTTATCTGTAGTACAATAGTACTTATATTGCCATATTTTATTTTATGAATTGCTTGCTGGCCATTGACCGTATTAAAGATATTTGAATTTGAGACGATGATAAGCGGCAGTTTCCCCTTCTCCTTCTCACTAGGAGATTTAAATATATATCTATTAAAAATGTGTCTTTTTTGATTATCAGTCTGAATGTGTGGGTATCTCGTTCCATCAGTTTCTTACCTGAGTGCTGCTGCATGTGGTCAAAGCGCCGGTCCCAATCTAGCACCAGCTGCACCTCGCTCCCTGGCTCAAGGGGTGTCTGGACGAAGTGTAGAGCATCTGGACCTTGTCGGGTGACCCTTAATACTGGGATGTCATTAATGAGCCCCCGGTCATCGGGCTGGAAAAAAGAAATTAAAGTCACCAGCCCAGCTTTGGGGGAATATTCTCCTGCTGTAGCAGACGAAAGCATGTGTAAAATGGCAATGGTTGTGAGTTGCGAAGCTGAGCAAATGCTATACCACCCTCTTAAAAAAAACACAAATTTGATAAATGAAGCAATTGCTGTGCAGAGGTTCTCTGAATTATCGTCACAATATTAATTAGCCCAAGTAAAAGTTTTGATTGTTATTATAGATTTTTTTTTTTGCATTTTAAATTGCTTTATTGAAATTGTATACAAGAAAATAAGAAAGCAACATGTAACAAAATTATACATAATAAAAATATATACTTATTACATTGTATCACATTCTTCTCAAAGGTCCGATGACTTCCCGTCAACCCCTCGTGCTTCTAAACATTATTTAACCTATCGCACATTTTACTCATTATGTTCATATATATTCTCTTTCCTGATACTCATTGATACATTAATTGATTGTTATTATAGAGATTATAAATATAAGGTAATAATCACACACTGAATAAACCCATTGCAATCAATGCACTTCAGTTATCCAAGTCCACTGATTTCAACTACAGTGGTGCCTCGCAAGACGAAATTAATTCGTTCCGCGAGTTTTTTCGTCTTGCGGTTTTTTTCGTCTTGCAAAGCACGGTGTCGGGAAAGTTTTGGAAAAGCTTCAAAAATCACCAAAGTCTTCAAAAACCTCAAAAAAGGCTACCACACCACGTGCTATGAGTTGCTCCTCGAAGTCAAGTCGCAACTGTATTAACGGTTTTAAGAAAAGGAAACAAACTTGCAAGACGTTTCCGTCTTGCGAAGCAAGCCCATAGGGAAAATCGTCTTGCGAAGCAACTCAAAAAACCAAAAACCCTTTCGTCTAGCGAGTTTTCCGTCTTGCGAGGCATTCGTCTTGTGAGGTACCACTGTACTCTGAACTTTGACTGAAATAAAAGCCCTGGTAATAAGATTTTATTTGGAAGTAAACTGGCATTTATTCCCCAGTGTGTTTAGGATTGCTGGCTTAAACATATAAAAGAAGCACAGACAAGATCTGGATTTAAGAGTGAACAGGAGATCACACATTTCTAGTAATTCCGTGGAACAATTCAAGTCTTAGTTTCAAGAACTAGGTCAACAGTAAATCCCTAGTAGCATATTAAGATGTATACAATATGTTAGAACCCCCAAAACAGGTTCCACTTTCTGACCAAGAACTAAGATTGGTACCTGCCCTCCACCCTCTGGGAAAAGAATAGTGTCTTCCAAGATGACATGGAATCCCTGAAGTGTCTCCTTCTTTCCACCATTTTCTGTGGACAATTTTGCAGGGCAGCAGGAGACCACCTGTGTAGTGAACTGGGGAGGAAAAAGAAAGGGGGAATATGCGTGATTATAGCTTCACTAAAGATCTGGAGGTCTTTAGGTTCAGAGGTAATGAAAGGTATGCACTAAACTTAAGAGATGGAATCTGAAGATGCTGACCAGATGCTTCAGCATGTCTAAAGCCAACGATTTCTAGCAAGAGTTTTCTTCAGGCCAAATTCCCTTATGTACTGTGAAGCAGAGCATAGTTTACTATCTTCTAACTGGCTTTTTGCATGAATTTTGTCACAACAATAGGTGATAACCAAAGTTAGTAGCATTCAAAACCAACTCACTGAAATTAGTGGATATGACTAATTTAGGTCCACTAATTTCAAGTAGAACATACGAGTATTTTCAGTATCTTTAGATTATCTCTTTATTGTATTTATTATTTCTATCTCACCTTGTAACATAAATGCTTCCAAATCAACTTAAGCAAAATGATGTAAGTCTTCACTTTTAATACCTATTATAAAACATTTTACTAAAGCAATTCAAAAGCGAAACAACTGTAGAAGCATACTTTCAATTCAATCCCAAAATGCCTCACAAAATACTTTCACTTATCTTAGACAAAGGAACAAGAGACAGACCCTTAAAGGCCTCTGTTGTAGATGCCAGAGTCACAACTACAAGGCTGTGTTCTTAGCAGAAGTGGGGGTTTTTTGCAATTCATAATGCCCCTTTGCTGTAGCTTCCTTCCTCTCCTGTTGATTTAAGATATGCTGTACCTGTTTTTTTGTATGATGACTTTATTGCACTCTGCAAGAAGCTTTGAGCATCCATTGTACTGTGTTAGATTCTGTGATGCCACACTGAATGACAGCCAATTGCTTGGTCCACTGATGTGCTATGCGCTAGGCAAAACACAGAAATGCAGCCATTCCAGCCCCAGGTGGCATGCACCTAAAACTGCAAAATCATAGGGTTGGAAGGAACAACCACCACAAAAGGTCATCAACTCATGGCTGATGCAGAAAAACCCAGTACTACACCATCTCTTACTGGCAGACATTCAGCCTCATAAGTGTTTAGTCCATGGAAGAACTGTGTGTGGCATAATCAGGGCCGGATTTAGGTTTGATGAGGCCCTAAGCTACTGAAGGTAATGAGGCCTTTTATATGTCCAGCTGTCCTTTGTCAACAAGAAATTGTCGCTGTTTTTTGTGCTGAATACATGCTATATGGTAATTTATGGACCTAATAGATATCTAAAGCCATTTGCACATAACAAAATATGTACTTTATCAGAGTAATTGTTGAAGTGAAATACAATTAAGAAGAAGTATATTAATAGTGAAATAATTATTAAGCTCTAACTTAAAATGATTTTTTATTCATTACAAACTTAATAATGCAAACACATTTGCATTTGGCAATAACAAAAGTTCCTTTAGAAACACAATTTACAAAGACTCATAATCTAGTCTCTAGAAACTTGCTATAACATGAAATAGTAATATGTGTAAATATAACATGAAATAATAATATGTGTAAATATATGATGCAAACTATTTATAAATAAACTAATTATAAATAGCAGAATGTAGGCACCCTACATATAGAAATGAGCAAACTAGTGATATTTAAGGGAGCAGGCTCCATTACTTACATCATAGGAGGCTACACAACACAAAACACGGTTGCTGTATGTATGTTTTTTATCTTATATTTTGGAAATGTACATCCAGTTTTTTTCTTTAAATTTTTTGGGGGGCACAAGAGAGTGGAGGCCCTAAGCTACAGCTTGTTTAGCTTAAACGTAAATCCGGCACTGGGCATAATGCTTAGAGCATTGGATTAGGACCTGGGAGACTGGGGTTCAAATCCCCTTTTTGGACACGAAGCTCACAGATCAGTCACTACTTCTCTGGCTAAACTACCTCACATGGCTGCTGTGGGGAATTAAATGAGTAAGGAGAAAACCATGTACACCACCATCAGCTCCTTGGAGAAAAAGCAGAGTTCTATAAAGTTATTAAATGATAAATAATAATAAACCTCCCCCAGGTCATGCCTGCTGTTTGTGTATCAGAGACTAAAGCCAGTGAGGTGAATCATGGCTATAAAACTGGACCAGCAAAGTGTTCAAATTCCCATTCAGCCATGAACCTCACTTAGTGATCTTGGGACAGTAACTGCCTCTCAGCCTAACCTACCCCACAGGGTCGTTGCTGAAGAGAAAACAGAGGAAGGGTATGTATGCCACTTTGGAGCTCCTTGCAGGAAAGGTGGGATATAAATATAATAATAAAAAATAACGTCTTTCCTTCTGCAGTGTTGGATGGCAGGTTGAGAGGAGTTCCCTATCAGGACAGACTTTGCTCGGGTGTGCTCAAGACACTGATTCCATAAAACATATTTTGCTGCACTGTGCAAAAGATGAGCAAGCCAGGGCTGAACTGATATTACCCTTGCTGGTACCTTTACCGGGAAAATCAGAGGCTCACTATGTCAGGTTCCTATTGGAAGACCGGACAAACGCTTGAACATTAGCAGTGGCGAAGTTTTTATCGGTGGTTGCAAGAACCAATGAGCCCTATCTTTAAGTCTGAACAAAATGCTTGTTTAACCTGCAGGTAGGCTGTCTGAATTGTGCATTGCTTTGTAACGATTTGTTGGGTCTCTGGATCGTAATAAAGATTGATTGATTGATTGATTGACTGAATAAAAAATAACAATGCTAGGACCTGTAAATAGGGCTACAGAAGAGGAGCGAGAGAGAATCAATCCGATTTGGGCTGGAGGAAAGCACCTTATATGAAGCAATTTTTCTCTTATTATTATTATTATTATTAGCAGTAGTAGTATAGATCTCGGGGCGATTCACAACATAAACATACAATATAAAAAACACAAAATAAAAATACTGATTGATCTCCCATAAAAAGCTTGTTGGTGGTTTTCTCTGCTGCCAAAGGAGTAAGGAACCATTTTTTCAACCAATGTCTGCACGTCTTCATGGGCAACCTTGCAGGAACCAACGATGCGAATTTGCTCTCATCCGCAATGATGCAAATTGGCACGAACTGTAACGGTATACATGCAGTTAACGGAAACGAGCGCCATCCCAAATCCCCTCGGTTCCTTTCACACCTGCCGGACCCAGCTGTCCCGCTGGCACTTGAACGCCATGGAGCCACCAGCAGCGTCGGACCCCAGCGACCCCGGAACACGTTGGTCGGCACCTTTAGGCTTCAGGCGCAGCGAAAGAGCAGCCGTGACGGGTCACTTCCGCCCGGCCTAAGGCGAGCGGCGAAGGACATAGCTAGCCCCGCGTTTCCCTTGCGCTTAGCTGACGAAGGGAAAGGGGCGGGGCCTCGGTCTCCTCAGCCTGCCTTTTGCGCTCTTCTGTGAGGGAAAGCGGACCTCGGGGCGGGGCCTTTGCTGGTGCATTGGTTCAAATGAACCTACATTGGTTCAAATGGGATTGGTTTACAGTATATTTCTGTGTCAAACGAATCCCGAAGCGCCTTACTGGACAATAAAATAAACAATAGACATACCAAGAGTACATACAGCATAAATCCCGCAATCACAAGCAAAAGCCATTCTTTGTTTATTTCTCAAAATTTAGACACCACTTGCTCATAGCTGTCAACTTTTCCCTTTTTTAAAGGGAAATTCCCTTATTCCGAATAGGATTCCTCGCAAGAAAAGGGAAAAGTTGACAGCTACGCATTTGCTTCCTAAAAAAAGAAAAGAACCCTCAAAGCGGTTTACAAAAATACGAAACCGAGAAAAATTCACAAACCCTACTCTACAAAACATGCAAAAGTTTAAAACCCCAAAAAGTGGGATAAAATGACCTCAGCTTTCTAAGCATTTGGGCAGGCTGCTTGTCCAAACAATGTTTTACGATCTATAAAAACTATTAGCAGAACAGCAACTGTCGGTTTTTTGGCAGCCGTAGAATAACAGAAAATGTGTATTTTCCAAGCCAATGTAGGAGAGTGTTTGGTAGTTGTTAAAATGTTCCATATGGAGGTACAGAGCAGGGAAGGCCCTTACATGTTTGTGAAAAGGGATTTTCCTCAGCTGATGCTGTTCAAGATGTTCAAACCTTTTCTCACGGAGCCGGCCCACCCATGAGGGAAGATGATGTGATTGCCTCAGGCAACAGGATCCACAGAGGCAGCAGATCCCAATGTAGGATCTTGATTCCCCTTCCCCCTTGTTCCTGATGTAGATCTTCATTCGCCCCTATTTCCCTGGCTGGGAGGAAGGGGCGCCATTTTGTTGTTGTTCGCCTCAGGTGCCAAAAGATCTTGACCAACTTGAGCAACTTTAAAAGAGGATAAGAAGTTTGTCCATGGCTTCTACCAATGGTGGAAGCTATATTCTGCCTTCATGGTCAGAGCAGTCAGGCTTCTGAACACCAGTTGCTGGACACTACTTCAGGGGAGACGGCTGTTGAGCTCAGCTCCTACTGACTGGTTTCCCAAAGGCACCTGGTTGTGGTTGGCCAGTGTGAGAAAAGGATGCTGAACTAGATGAGCCACTGGCCTGGTTCTTGCCTTCTCAGAAGAGGTGTTCCATTTTTGCCAGCTTCAGGGTGGTTATGACTCTTACTGAAGCAGATACCAACATATGAAGCAAAAAGCCCACCCTGACTGTTGACATTCTATGTGCAATTTGGCTCATGATGGTCTTTTGAAGCAGATTGCCAGTGCAATCCTGCATAGATCTACAGTGGTACCTTGGGTTACAGACGCTTCAGGTTACAGACTCTGCTAACCCAGAAATAGTACCTCGGGTTAAGAACTTTGCTTCACGATGAGAACAGAAATCGTGCGGCAGCAGCGGGAGGCCCCATTAGCTAAAGTGGTACCTCAGGTTAAGAACAGTTTCAGGTTAAGAACGAACCTCTGGAACGAATTAAGTTCTTAACTTGAGGTACCACTGTACTTACAATTAACCCCATTATAGTTCGAATGGGACTTACCTCCAGGTCAGTGGGCATATATACACACACCTTGTTAAGTTATTAGCTGCTTCATTTCCCCAAGGCCATGTTTAGTGAACTCTTGCAAACTTTGGGAGTGTCATGCTAACTGCATACCTCATTAACTTTCAAATATTACAGTCCTTGCATTTAATGAACAGGTACTTTTGAGCTAGTCGGTGTCATTCTACCTGATTAGGCACCTGATCCCTCCTTTTTAGACTGTATAGTATATTTTATTATTGTTTTTCATAGTGGATCACGCTTTGCTTCTCAGTACTTACGGAACAGCATACTTCCATCTTTCGTATGGTGCAGAAGAAGTAACCTGGTGGGAGGGGCAAGAGCATGGGCAGACAATCTGACCTGAAACCCAATTCTTCCATAGTGAATTTGCAATCCTAACCCCATTCAAGCCCTAACTGAATTCAATTGGACTTACTTCTGAGTAGACATGGTTAGGCTTGTGTTGTAGGTTCCAAGCTTTTTGTATGTATGCCTACCCCATTTTGCCCACATTTACCAAATTGACAACATGAAATAAGCCTTGGAAATTTGTAAGCATGACGGGAATGCTTTCTTTACCTCCCTCTCTTGGCCTTTCACTGCAGACTGTCAGCTTGGTAGACCTACTGTGAGTTTAGCAGTGCTTGGTTTATGCTTGTTTCCGGTGGCTGAGATTGTAGCTGGAAGGATCTAGGCTCAAATGTTGGGAGACTTTGGTCCTCCAGGCATCCTTGGACTCCAAAACCCATCACCCCTGTCCTCTGGCCATGTTTGCTGGGGTTGATGGGAGTTGTAGTTCAGCAACAACTGGCAGGCCAAAGGTTCCCCACATTCCATCTAACATATTTTTAATCCTTATCTGCAGTCAGGAATTCTGCAGCCACAGTAACCTAGATTTACAGGGAGGAAGAACAAATCAAAAGTAGCCTTTCCTATCTGAGGGTGCCAGTGCAGCAATTGGCATCTTTTGAGCTTCTTTGCTGGTGTACCTAGTCAAGCATGTTGGATCTCTCCTTCGCAGCCCGGCAACACTCAAGACTAAACAAAAACCATTCTCTCCGCTGCAGCAATGGGTGACGGCCAACAAAAAGCTCAGAACTGTTACCAGTGTTTATTGGCAGAGATTTGAATAGCTTCAAACCTTTATATACAACATCCTTAAGGAACAAAAAACTCTACAGAGAGAAGCTGAGGACATGAGAAAGGGATGGAGGGAGCTGTAGATCAGAGAGGCTGGAGAGAAAAGCAGAAACAAGGAGGTGTGGTATTGCCCATCTATTAATGAGAGACTTGGAGGAGAGAGTCCCAGTCTACGGTTCGCAGCTGTCATGCAATCTCTTGGAGCAAAAGTGAAAAGAATGAAAATCCGGGGGAATGAGAGTCCATCAGTGCAGAGTTGCTCCACAACATTGTCTCTCGCCTACCTCTTGTTCAATCCCAGCACTGCTTTTGTACCTGGTGGTGGTGGGGAGAATAATCACAGAATTCACAACGTCTCACAAATGGGATGAAGGCAAAGAAGGGATGAGGAATTGTGCATCACAGCAAACAGCAGGCTCTTCAGACCCACCTCCACTTCCAAATGTTCAGGGCTCAAGGCCGGTGTGTCAAGGGCTGGCACATTCTTGGGCACCTGCCCAGGCCCACTGCCAGCCTGCAGCTCTGTCCCTCTTCCTCCCTGACCTGTCTGCGTGCTCCCTTGCCCTCCCCCAAGGCATAGCTTGAGAAAGGAGCAGGAGGCTATACTTGTCTTGTTCTCTCCTTCTGGGCTGTGGAGTGAGGACAGTGACAGGTAGAAGAAGGTCCACTCAGGGTGGAGGGCCCACCAAAGGTTTTTAGGTCAAGGGCTCCATAAAGCTTGGGATCAGACACTGTCAGAGCTGGGTAGAGATTCTTTTGACTGTAAAATGGTAAAGGTAAGGGAAAGGGAAAGGACCCCTGGACAGTTAAGTCCAGTCAAAGGCGACTATGGGGTTGTGGCGCTCATCTCACTTTCAGGCTGAGGGAGCCGGCGTTTGTCCACAGCTTTCCGGGTCATGTGACCAGCATGACTAAACCGCTTCTGGCGCAACGGAACACCGCGATGGAAACCAGAGCGCACGGAAATGCCGTTTACCTTCCCACCACAGCGGTACCTATTTATCTACTTGCACTGGCGTGCTTTCGAACTGCTAGGTTGGCAGAAGCTGGGACAGAGCAACGGGAGCTCACCCCATCGCGGGGATTCCCACGGCAGAGCAAAGGATTCTTTGGTAGGATTCTAGCTTGAGATTTTGGATCTAGTACACATTTAAAGCAGTATCATACCGCTTTTAACAGTCACGGCTTCCACCAAAGAATCATGGGAAGTGTAGTTGGTTAGGGCCACCGAGAGCTGTTAGGAGACCCCTGTTCACCTCACAGAGTGACAATTCCCAGAGTTCCCTGGGAAGAGGGTTGTAACCACTCTTGAGAATTGCAACCCTGTGAGAATCAAGGTCTCCTAGCGACTCCCAACACCCTTTAAAGATAAAAAGGTAAAGGACCCCTGACAGTTAAGTCCAGTCGCGAACGACTCTGGGGTTGCGGCGCTCATCTCACTTTACTGGCCGAGGGAGCCGATGTTTGTCCACAGACAGTTTTTCGGGGTCATGCGGCCAGCATGACATGCTCTGGCGAAACCAGAGCAGTGCATGCAAATGCCGTTTACCTTCCCACCGGAGTGGTACCTATTTATCTACTTGCACATTGACGTGCTTTCGAACTGCTAGGTTGACAGGAGCTGGGACCAAGCAATGGGAGTGTGTTGTGGGGATTCAAACCGCCGACCTTCCACCCTAGGCTCAGTGGTTTAGACCACAGCGCCACCTGTGTAATTGTAATTATAGTTACAAAACTACAATTCCCAGGATTCTTTGGGGGAAGCTGTATGATACTGATTTAAATTATAGTGCAGATGGGGCCTGCCACTGAGACGCTGCCCTGACAGTTTAAGATTGGCCTGGAAGCTGAAAGAAAACTGCAGCAGTATGACATTCTTTTGTGATAGCTATTTCAGAGTTGCCAAGGCTAGTTTGCTTGTTTGCTTCCATGCCCAGCCCCTTAGGCAACACCCCCCTCTCCCCTTTTTAGGTCCCGCCAGGTGCTTGTCTGCCCACCCCTTCAGACATGGAGAGGGATGCCTTGATGATTACCTTTGAGTCTTGCGCTTTTCAGATGTCATCCTAGGAAAGATCAGGACAGACAGGGAAAGGTCAGTATCTTTGGAGCCCAAAGCATATCCCATCCCAAGCTTGTAGAGGTGGCACAGTCTGACAAAGAGAGCCAGTCTGGCGTGGACCTGACAGAGCTGAAAGGGGTTATGGAGATGAGATCCGAACCACATGGCTCTCACTTGCCTGTCATTCTCCCCAAAATACTTACATCAAGGTCATCCATGGCAGGAGGAGGGCCTTTCTTGGTGACCTTCTGCATGAGCTGGACGGAGAGAGAAAAGGAAAGTTGAGGACTTCAGCACCGATTTCTGAGAACAAGAAGATTTGCATCTTCTTCTCCTTCCTCCACAGTGACGCACCTCTGACGCACCTCAGCTGCCCTGAGCCCGGTCTCGGCCGGGGAGGGTGGGATACAAATAAAAGTGTTATTTTATTATTTATTTTTAATTAATGAATGTTAGGAAAATGTTGGAATGAAGTTATATGGCTTTAGTAGAAATGTTATAAGGAATTAAGTATAAATAGATTAATAGAGTACTAAAGGAAAAAATAAAGTTAGAATGTGTTAAGATAATTATAGGATAGAAAACAAAGGAAGATGGAAAGGAATTGCTGAAACAATTAATAGAAGTGGAATACAAAAAGGGAGGTGTGAGGAGGTCGTTGAAATAAGTGAATGAAAGATAAAATATTGAAACTGTTTGATGTGTTTTAAACTGTTTTTGTTTTGTTTTGTTAGTTTAATGTGTTAGTGTTATGTATTGTTTTTGTATTGTATTGTATTGTATTGTTTATTTTTTGTGTGTGTAGTGTTTAAATTGTTGGAAAAGTAATAAATATTATTTTTTTAAAAACATATTTTATTATTTATTTTTAAATTTCTATACCGCTTTATATTTTTAATAACAATCTCAAAGCGGTTTACAGCATATTCAGTCAATAAATCAATAAAACAATAGCCGGGCAACGTTACTCCAGCCTCAGGAGGAGCCCCTTTTGTAGGGCTGGGTGAGTGTGGGCCCAGCCCCCTAGGCCAGGTGGAAAGGGCCTTGCAGAGAGTGGCCTCCACGCCTCACAGCTGGGCAATGTTCCTCCGGCCTCATGAGCAATGGGGAATGGCTTGGCTTTGTGCTCTGGGCTTTTCACCCCTCTGTTGGCATGTTGTTGTATCATCATCATCATCATGTTTTAATGAAGAGGCAAAATGAAAGCTTGAAAGTACTTCCCCAATGGCTGATTAAATCTTGGAAACCAAGAGTTGGTTGGTATGGTTTCTGCTAGTTTGAAAGTGGAGCTTAAGGGCATAAGAAAAGCCTTGCCAAAGGTCCATCTAATTTGGCATCTTACAATGGCCAACCAGGTGCCTGTGGAAAGCCCACAAGCATAGTTCAATGCCTTTTATAGCTCCTCTTTCTGTAACAGATAATGTCTGCAGACTGTTAAACTTATGTACATGATAAGCCATCACCTCCTGGCAAATAGAAGGGGAAGAAATGGAGGCAGTGAGAGATTTTACTTTCTTGGGCTCCATGATCACTGCAGATGGTGACAGCAGTCACGAAATTAAAAGACCCCTGCTTCTTGGGAGAAAAGTGATGACAAACCTAGACAGCATCTTAAAAAGCAGAGACATCACCTTGCCAACAAAGGTCCGTATAGTTAAAGCCATGGTTTTCCCAGTAGTGATGTATGGAAGTGAGAGCTGGACCACAAAGAAGGCTGATTGCCAAAGAATGGATGCTTTTGAATTATGGTGTTGGAGGAGACTCTTGAGAGTCCCATGGACTGCAAGAAGATCAAACACATCAATTCTTAAGGAAATTAGCCCTGAGTGCTCACTGGAAGGACAGATCCTGAAGCTGAGGCTCCAATACTTTGGCCACCTCATGAGAAGAGAAGACTCCCTGGAATAGACCCTGATGTTGGGAAAGATTGAGGGCACAAGGAGAAGGGACGACAGAGGACAAGATGGTTGGACAGTGTTCTCGAAGCTACAAACATGAGCCTGACCAAACTGCGGGAGGCAGTGGAAGACAGGAGTGCCTGACGTGCTCTGGTCCATGAGGTCACAAAGAGTTGGACACGACTAAACGACTAAAGTACAACAACAAGAAGCCTCTTTCTGTAACAGATAATGTCTGCAGACCGTCAAACTGTATGTACATGATAAGCCAGGTGATAGAAAACATTTCGTGCCATGGAATTTTTTTAATGCAACTTATCCAGCCTTTGTGCCCCTCCCTCAGCCTGCCTCTGGGCAATTAATGTGAGGACAAATAAGCATTGCGAAACATTTCACTCCCTGAGAAGGAACGGCTATATGTGACGCCCAATAATAATAATAATAATTTATTATTTATACCCCGCCCATCTGGCTGGGTTTCCCCAGCCACTCTGAGCGGCTTCCAACAAAATACTGAAATACAATAGTCTTTTAAACATTAAAAGCTTCCCTAAACAGGGCTGCCTTCGGATGTCTTCTAAAAGCCTACGTAATTGTAGCATCATTGTAATGGCAGGAGGTGCATTGGCTATAAAATTGCCAGCTGTTAAGTTGTGGGTGAACATATCAGACGACACATCGATTCTTCAAACAGCTCTTGTTTATTCACAGGCCAGAACAGAACTGAACTGAAGGGTTCAGTCAGCCTGCTTATATAGAGCTCCAGTACAACGTAACTGTAACAATTTTCTAAAACTATCCAATCACTGAACGTCACTTTCGATCCCTTATTTGCATAACTATCTACAGTATCCCCCTGCTGGCCCAGGGTGAGAACTTCAGTACATAACACCAGCCACATTAACTGCGCTTTGCAGTCCACATCACAGGCTGCCTGGCTGAAAGGGTCTTGCTGTTCCTGCTGTCGTTGCTGGTCAAGGAATCCAGACTTGCCACTGCCCTGCTGCTTGCCCCCTGGGGAAACCCAATCTTTACCACTAAATTGGACAAACCAGGTTTTCTCCGGATTGACATTTGCCCTGCATTGCAGTGGGTTGGACTAGATGACCCTGGGGTCCCTTCCAACGCTACAGTTCTATGAATCTAATTTTATCACGAAAGATCAAGTTTTCCTAGGGAAAGCAGTGGGGCAAGGACAAAACTGCTCAGACTCGTGCTTTCTAGGCACGTGACAAAAGTGGGAGAGCCCTAAAATCATAGGACACACAGTCAGCCACTATTGTCTCCTCAGGGTATAGGGCAGTATATAAAATCAATAAATAATAATAATAATCCTATAAGCCGCACCACTGCTGATCTGATTTGAAGACAGCTCAAGACTCTGCCTTGGTCCCATAGCTGGACAGACTCACCTCCGCATAGTGCTCAACCATGGCCGCCTCCACTTCCTCGTCTCCTTCCCAGTCGCGCCAGTTATCGAAGTCCACTGAGAGCCATGCTGGCTGCAGGTAAAATTAAGATTCACAGATTAACCCAGACTCCCTGCTTCTGCTTCTTCGCCTAGCTGGAGGAGAAGCTTTGGGGGAACAGCTGGTCACTGAGCCAATCGGACTTCTGGATTTTATCCCTTTTCAACAATAAGACAGAATTGGCCCCTGCCAGAGTATTTTGTCCCCAGCTATTTCTTTTTCCAGGGACGCGGGTGGTGCTGTGGGTTAAACCACAGAGCCTAGGGCTTGCCGATCAGAAGGTCGGCGGTTCGAATCCCCGCGACGGGGTGAGCTCCCGTTGCTCGGTCCCTGCTCCTGCCCACCTAGCAGTTCGAAAGCACATCAAGTGCAAGTAGATAAATAGATACCGCTCCGGCGGGAAGGTAAACGGCGTTTCCGTGCGCTGCTCTGGTTCGCCAGAAGCGGCTTAGTCATGCTGGCCACATGACCTGGAAACTGTACGCCAGCTCCTTCGGCCAATAAAGCGAGATGAGTGCCACAACCCCAGAGTCGGTCACGACTGGACCTAATGGTCAGGGGTCCCTTTACCTTTACCTTTATTTCTTTTTCCAATGTTTCGATAGCACAATAGGGCCAGATAGCAGCCACAGCTGAAAATTCTGGTTTTTCTGACCACTTTCCAGCAACTCAATATCTAACAACTGATTGGGGGTGGCTGTTATGGGAATCCCTATTAACCAAAAGCTCACTCTGTGTGTGTGTGTGTGTGTGTGTGTGTGTGTGTTTCCACAAACCCTTTTTTTAGCATGTGGCAAATGCAACTCAGCCTTACTGAGTCCCCTTCTTGAGCTCAGAGAATAGATAGCACTGCACCAAAGATTTCACTCAAAAAAAGACGCCCCAAGTGAGTGCTTTGCAAGGGGTTGGACTACATGATCCTTGTGGCCCCTTCCAACTCTACAATGTTATGATCTATGACCTCAGCTTTGTATGGAAAAGAGAACAAGCCACGGGCCCTACCTTAAAGTCCTCCTTGGTGAGACGTGGCCAAGCGACTTTTTCCTTCCACTTGCGTGCAAAGAGGGTGATGGACCTGCCCGACCGCTTGTTCTGGGAATCCTGAAAGTGATCATGTTGGGAGAGAAATATCAGGCAGCCAAAGAGGCTAATCTGAACCAAAACCAAGGTTGGGAGAAAGTTCTGTACGTTTTATGAAGCAATGAGGGCTGAGCCCAGGTGCACTGGTCTGCAGCAATGAATGGATTATAGGTTTTGGAAACACTTATTCCATTTTTTCCCATGCAATTCCAGGTCAACCAGCAACCGAAATAAGCAGGTAATTAGAACTGATTGCCTTAATCAATTATCTTCATATGAGCCCGATCCCTCCAAGCCAGAATAACTAACAGTCAGAATCTAGGGTGGGGCTACTCAATAGCATGTTCAGTTCTCTTTGGTTGTGGTCATTTGCAACATGCAGATTTTCCCAGCAGCCACCCTGCCACCACTGACTTAATCATGGACACCAATAAAGAATTGTTAATAATTGGACAAACAGGTCAAAAATTAACTGAAGAATGGGATTGTGTGAAGGAGTACATGAAAAAAACATTGTTCCGGGACAAATATATCGATATGCAATGAATAAAGTTCACAGGGTAGAAATATTGAGGAAACGGATGGAAGTGGAACAAAAACAATGTAATATTAATAACACAACGAATAAAAGAAGTTTAAGGGAAGGAGGTCAAACATGGGTGGAGGGAATTCTATGTTTTTATGTATTTTGGGGTGTGTTCTTTTAATTTTTTTCTTTTGTGTAATTTGTTATTTTTCTTTTTTTCTTGTGATATTTGTTTGGTTTTTGTTACTGCAATTCAATAAAGTTAAATAATCTTTTTAAAAAAATTAATAACCCTTGGGGATACAAAGTGTGGCTATTCCACAATAACTGCCCAGTGTGGAAGCATCCCAATTTGTTGTCACCGCAAACATGCTACAAATAGGTAGGCACAGAATGAATGAAGTTGATAGGTACGTGTGTTCTGACAAATGTAAGGAACAAGCCATGTGCCAACCTTTCTGTTGCCTCCACTTGCTGGCACCCTCTAAAATTTGGAAGCTGAAGTGAGGAGAAGGTCCTGCACAGCTTTTTGGACCTTGCCCTTGATAGAGCTAAAGCAGTGGCAGCAGAAAATGCTCCCCAAACAACTCAGCCCTTGGTCATTTTTCAAAAGCATGCACCATTTAGTCTCTGTCCAGAAGCAGCCACTTTTAATTGGTGGCAGAAGTGCTAACGGCAGCCAGCCAGGGGCTCTATGTATCTACCAGTTGGACGAGACAAAACTTTGCATTATTGTTCATTCTGCTAGTGAAGAGTTCCGTGGCAAGGAATAAAGGCTGAGGGCAGTTTTGCCCCTGGCAGTTGCAGCGCACTCCTTCCAAAATGGCACACCCTTGTTTTGCTGCTCACCTTAGAATTAACCCGGGCATAAAAGGTAATCTCGTTGTACAACTCCACACCATCTGCGTTCTTACAACTGTGGAAAGACAAAAAGATTACGGTGGGGTTCCTGAGGAGCTACCAAAAACAACTTCTGAATAACGTCCTGTGTGGTTTTATCAGCGATGAAGCGGCAACCATGATTAATCAGCACTGCAGTTGCCCCAAAAAGAAGTCAAAGGCCAGGTCTTCGCGGCAATTGATTGCACAAAATTTGCTCACAGCTAGACTTTTGAAATTATGAAACACTTTTTACCTAAAATGCTCTCCTCGCCGCAGCAGCTGACCAAGAGATTTCAAAATAATTGGCCTGTCTGTTGGATCTTCATATTGTTTAGGGCAGGGATGGGAACCTTGCGGCTTTCCAGATGTTGCAGTACCAAAACTCCCATCATCTCTGAACAATGGCTTTGTAGGTTGGGATGGATGGGATTGAAATCCAACAGCATCTGGAAGGTCACAGGTTCCTTGATTCCTTTCTTAGGTGTAAAGGAATCTACACCTTAATGATGGACTTTCCCCATGGATCAGCTGAGGTTCTAGGCAGAGTTAGGTTCACAGAAGCTCCTTGATTACAACAGGTTTTGGCGTGCCTAACTCCATGCTGGACTGAGCTGAACGAATCATAATGCAAGATGTGCAGTCACATCCTTTGTACGTTTCCTGAAAGTAAATTTTCATAGTACAGTGGTACCTCGGGTTAAGTACTTAATTCGTTCCGGAGGTCCGTTCTTAACCTGAAACTGTTCTTAACCTGAAGCACCACTTTAGCTAATGGGGCCTCCCGCTGCTGCCGCGCCGCTGGAGCACAATTTCTGTTCTCATCCTGAAGCAAAGTTCTTAACCCGAGGTACTATTTCTGGGTTAGCAGAGTCTGTAACCTGAAGCGTATGTAACCTGAAGCGTATGTAACCCAAAGTACCACTGTATCTGGTAGTTCAGGATTGCAGATCCACCTAGTGCTTTTTTCTGGGTATACTCAGTGGTACACAGTACCGGCACATACACCCTGATGTTAAAAGTGTGGCACTTAATGTAACAACTTCCAGAGTACCAACATATTATTTTCTTTTTAAAAAACCCGTGGAACCACCCCAGATCAGTAAACAAATCCTAACCAAATTCCAATATAGAAGTAGACAACTGTGAAAGTTAGCAAGCAACACAGGGGAGTCATTTACGATCAACAAGCAACGTACACTGTACAGTGGTACCTCGAAAGTCAAACAGAATCCGTTTCAGTCCGTTCAACTTCCAAAACATTCCGAAACCAAGGCACAGCTTCCGATTGGCTGCAGGAAGCTGCGGAAGCCACGTCAGACGTTTGGGTTCCAAAGAACGTTCGCAAATCGGAACACTCACTTCCGCGTTTGCGGTGTTTGGCAGCCAGAATGTTTGACTGGCAAGGCATTTGTGATCCAAGGTACGACTTTAGTTCTATGCATTTTCCAGGGCTTAGCAGGTTATTTTACATGTGGAGAAACAGAGGCTAGCAAAAAGATTCTTACATATCAAGGCAAACATGGATTGCTTAATTGACCCTTCAGTGCTACACTATAATAATGAGAATAATGAGAATAATAATAATTTTATTATTTGTATGCCACCCATCTGATGGGTTGCCCCAGCAACTATGGGAAGTTCCCAACAAAAACACAATTAAACATGAACCCCTAAACTTCCCTGATGTCTTCTAAAAGTCAAATAGTTGTGTTAAGTTGTGGGTGAACATATCAGACGACACAGCGATTCTTCAAACAGATCTTGTTTATTCACAGGCCAGAACTGAACTGAACTGAAGGGTTCAGCCATCCTGCTTATATAGAGCTCCAGAACAACGTAACTGTAACAACTTTCTGTAACTATCCAATCACTGAATGTCACTTTCGATCCCTTATTTGCATATGTGGACCTGAACTATCTACAGTATCCCCCTGCTGGCCCAGGGTGGGAACTTCCGTACATAACAAGTTGTTTATCTGTTTGACACCTGATGGGAGGACGTTCCACAGGGCAGACGCCACGACCGAGAAAACCCACTTTATATATTTATACATATACCCCCACTCTTCACCAAATGGTCCAGGGTGAGTTATATAAAATTAAAATAACAACAACCAGCGGCAAAGTAACAAAACAGCAGGACAAGCCCTTACCTGAACACAACTTTGTAATCGTCAAGATCTACTTTCACGTCTGTGCTGTCCTCCACACAGAACTCCAGGAATATCCATCGTGGGCGGTCATACCACAGAGTTTTGGCTGGTTGCCTTAGGAAACATGCAGAAGATATTAGGATGGCGAAGATGCAAGTACCATTGCCAGTGGAATGAAGGGGGCAGGAGTGATCTCAGCCTACAGTGAGGACCCATTAGCAGTGCTACAAATTTTAAACAGGGTTGACACTTTAAATGGTTGTGGCTTCTTACCCATAATTAGAACGGCATGCATCCATCTTCCCTCTTTCAGTGCAGGTTTGTGTGTGGAGGGCTTGCTTGTCTGCACTTAGGACCTTGGCATGGCAAACCATAACTCTGTGATTATTAGTGAACCCACTTTAAAGCAGTGCGATCTCACATACGTGGTTTTGGAGACAGAGCAACATTTTGAGTAGCCAGATGCAAAAGAAGACAGGCTCCCAAACTTCTTTTTTTGCTATATAATTTTTATAAAGTTTTCTGTTTTACAATTTAAAATACTCATTTTAAATCCTCAAGATATCAATGACTTCCCTTCTTCTCTTTTCCATGGTTCATTTTACATATCATAAATCCCTGAATATTTTACAGAAACTATACCATTCAGTATTCCGTTATTGCATCCATCAAAACTTATTTACACTGCTGAATTTATCTTAATGCCGCCAGCGTTTTCAGCTGTACACAATTATTTCCCATATATTCAATAAATGTTTTCCAATCTTCTTTAAACGGATGTTCTTCTCGTTCTCTTATTGTAGATGTTAAGTCTGCGAGTTGTACGTATTCCGTCAGCTTAAGTTGACATTCTTCTTTGGTTGGGACCTCGCTCATTTTCCATTTGGGGGCTAACAAAACACGGACCGCAGTGTTAGCATACATAAATAACCTTTTTTGACACCTGGGAATTTCAGTCTGGATTACCCCTAACAGAAAGGACACTGGTTTTTTTGGGAAAGTACTTTTGAACATCTTTTTCAATTCATTATGAATCATTTCCCAATACTTTTTTACCCTTTTACAAGTCCACCACATATGAAAGAACATTCTCAGGCTCCCAAACTTTTAATAGTTGGGTAGAAGCAACACAAACCTACGCTGGGCGAATTTTCCTCTTGTGCACAATTGATTAGACGTCCCCAGGGCCTTGTTTCCTTTTCCATCTGGCTTTCCAATCAAAAGTGGCCCTGCTATTCACTGCATGCTCTGCTTTAAAAGAGAATGTTTTGAAAATGGTCTATCGTTGGTATCTCACTCCCACCAAACTGGCAAAAATGTATAGGACAAGTAGCAAAACTTGCTGGAAATGCAAGGAAAAGGATGGCGATTTTTACCACATGTGGTGGTCATGCAACAAAATAAAAGAGTTTTGGGAATCGATCTATAATGAGTTAAAAAAGATGTTTAAATATACTTTTCCAAAAAAGCCGGAAGAATTTTTGCTAGGTTTGGTAGGAGAAGATATTAAGAAGACAGACCAAAGATTATACTTGTATGCAACAACAGCAGCTAGAGTTTTGATAGCCCAAAAGTGGAAGTTACAGGAGATTCTGACTGTAAGGGAATGGCAAATAAAGCTGGTTGAATACGCTGAAATGGCAAAATTGACACACAGAATTCGCAATCAGGAGGAGACGAAGTACCAAAAAGAATGGAGTAAATTTATCGTTTATATAAGTGAGAACTGTAGAAATATGAAAACACTGGCAGGATTGAACTAAATCTTATGTCATGGTGTACTTTTTAACCAATGAAACTGTGAATTATAGATTGGAATAAGAAAACTTGCGGAAGGGAAGGACGGAAGTCAGTGGCTCCATGCAGCATAAAGTAGGATATATGTAATATGTAATAAGATTTGATGTTTTTGTTGGTTGGTGTTGGTATTCTTAAATCTCAATAAAAAGCATTTGGGGGGGGGGACCAAAAGTGGCCCTGCGTGGGTGTTTGTGCAGCGCTAGCCCAAGACATTTTGCTGCCTGTGGGAAGGGACAGAGGAGAAAGCTGCCTTCTGCTGAGTCCGGCCATTGGTCCATTTAGTGCAGCATCATCTAAACGGACTGGCATCCGCTCTCAAGGGTTTCAGACAGTCCCTGAAGGTGATGAACCTGGTGCTGCACTGCTGAACTATGACCCTTCCCTGACCCATGTGCAGAATCTGGCAGGTCTGCCAGTTGACTCTCTTCACACGGGATGAGATAGCATCGTCTGCTGCAACTTGAGGCCAGCAGGCTAGTTTAGAGGGTCCAGCATAGGAATGTAGTTGCATAGCTCCCTCTGACCTCCCAGGAGAGAGTAAAAGAATGGCTCCGAGCCTTATAAGCAACAGCCTGGGAGCAGCGGCGGAGTTATCACTGCCCCCCAGTACCTGCTGCTTGGGATGGTCACCTCCTTTGCCTAAGGATAGGGCTGGCCCTAAGCACAGGCACCCTCGCTTTGCCTAAAGACTGCACTCCAATGGGGGCACCGTACATCTCTTTCATTGGGTGACCTTTCTAAGATCAGCTGTATTTCTGAGACCCCATAGTCGTCTTTGACTGGACTTAAACATCCAGGGGTCCTTTACCATTAGCTATTTCTGAGAGATTTCCTGTGTTGAGCAGGGATTCCCCAGATTTAAGGGGAAGTAAGGACTGTGCTTGATGGGATGCAGGTGGCGCTGTGGGTTAAACCACAGAGCCTAGGACTTGCCGGTCAGAAGGTCGGCAGTTCAAATCCCTGAATCCCTGCAACGGAGTGAGCTCCCGTTGTTCGGTCCCAGCTCCTGCCCACCTAGCAGTTTGAAAGCAAGTCAAAGTGCAAGTAGATAAATAGGTACCGCTCCGGCGGGAAGGTAAACGGCGTTTCCGTGCACTGCTCTGGTTCGCCAGAAGCGGCTTAGTCATGCTGGCCACATGACCCAGAAGTTGTACGCCGGCTCCCTCAGCCAGTAAAGTGAGATGAGCACCGCAACCCCAGAATCAGCCGCGACTGGACCTAACGGTCAGGGGCCCCTTTACCTTTAAGGACTGTGCATGTTGCTGGATTTCTAGACCAATCTGGAAGCCACCATCCTTCAAACGGGTGGGGTGGGGCAGGGAGAGACTGCCCCTAATCCCAATTTTAGGAGAGCTATTTGTGGCTGTTCATATGCAGTGACAACATTAAACCGATGAGTTGTTGAGCTCTGAGCCTAACCCAGAGCATGGCTTCTTTCTAAGGGGGGGCGGGGGCGGTGAGGACCTCTGGCCAGGAAGGGATATTCTTGTTCTATTTCCAGGGAATCCCAGGAATCAAATGATCGTTAGCAGTTGTAGAGGGACACCCACCTTGCCATGGCTCTCTTCCTGATTGCGTCTCAATCCCCGCAGCGTCCAGCCGGGCAGCCTTATTTTGAGTGCCCCTCCGGCCAGGCGGAGCCAAACCCCGAGCCGCCCCCTGCCCAGCTGCTGCTGTCCATCACTGTTCACCACTTCCCCCATGGGACTAGAAACCAGAACTTTCCCGGTGCGCATTCCCAGGAAAGTCTCTGCAAAAGGCAATCAGATAAAACTCTGGAAGAAACCCGATTTCGCTGGTTAGCCACTTTGAACGTTACTACCACATTTGCAAAAAAGAGATTTTATTAGGCCTCCTGCGGGGTTTTAAAAGTCTGCTTGCTTTGTGGGAAGTACGTTAAGTCTAACCATTGATCTAATTGATTATTGGACCTCAATTAGCTAAATACAGACCTTTGTCCTAAACACACTCGCCAGGGGGTTAAGGCTCACCGAGCACCGTGGCTTTACTTCCGAGTAAACCTGCTTTAACTCCAACTTCTCTTTTAAGTTACACGTATTTTTTGCCTGTTAATTTACCGTCGATCTGGCTGTTGCTTTTCAGATTCTCCTATATTGATCTTATCATGTGTTTTTCTTCTAGCTCGACCTCCTAGGGATTTGGACAAGGGATGATAATTGTGAAGTGGTACAGTCTAGCAAGGGACTTTAAGGTCCGGACGGTTGTGTTCAGACGACCCACCGGACGCTTGGATCTTAACATGTGATTTGTTCAAGTGTGTTGCAATATGGGCACCCCTTCCCTATTCTGCCGCGCGTTAGAGGGATGTCGGGTTCTTTGGAACAAGCGCATTAAAAGCTGCCATTCGATGCTTTTCTTTTCTGCATTGTCAAAATCTCAAATTAGATTTTCTAGTGGCATAGCCCTTTCCACACCCACCCCATGGATTTATTAAAAAGGTTATGCATAACACGACATCGCCCAGCTTCCGGGTTGTCTCGAGATTTTCGTTCACTGCTTACTGAGGGCAAGAGCGTTAACTTCACACCTTTAAACGGCTTGCATTGCAAATGGCAGGAGCCCAGCAAGGATTTTCCGCATGCAACCCGGCGCCGATTCCTTCCGCGCGCTGCCTGCAGCAGCTCACTCGCAGTAAATCATAGCATTGCAGAAGGGTAGACTAGGAAGAATAGCTGTCAACGTTTCCCTTTTTTTAAGGGAAATTCCCTTATTCCGAATATGATTCCTCGCAAGAAAAGGGAAAAGTTGACAGCTATGCTAGGCAGGGTTCTGGAGGGTCATCTAGTCCAACCCGTTCAACACAGGAATTTGATTCCCAAGTGCAACCAATTCAGGAAAGTTCCCAGCGTCCAGCATAACTGCAAGCGGAGCAATTCGAGAAAGCGCCTGCTACCTAATATTCCGGGCTGGAGGCGGAGCCGCGGGAGTAGAGCGTTCCATAGCTCTGCAACTATTGGCTGCCTGGAGGGGGCGGGGGCAGCCTGCTTAATTAGCATGCGCGACGTCGCACCGCCGCCGTGCCGGAAGTGACGCGCGACCCTTGCCGGCACGGCCGCTCCTGACAGGAGCTTCCGGTGTGGCTTTGTCCCCGTTTTTGACCGTTGGCGGCGGCGGCGGCGGCCTCTCGCTGCTGGGATGGAGGCGACGGCGGCGGGGCCCGGCGAGCGCTGGGCGCCGGTGGGAGCGGTGGCCGAGGCCCAGGCCGGGGAGGAGGAGCCCGCGGAGGGGGAAGAGGACGCGGCGGCGGAGGCCGAGCCGGGGTCTCCGCGGTCGCTGAGGGCGGAGCGGCGGCGCCTCCACTCGGCGCTCTTGGCGCTGGCCTCGCACTTCGCCCAGGTCCAGTTCCGGCTCCGGCAGGTGGCCCGCGCCGGCCCGGGCCAGCAGCAGCGCCTCCTCCGCGAGCTCGAGGAGTTCGCCTTCCGAGGCTGCCCGGGCTTCGGCTTCGCGGCGGCGGACGGGGTCGGCGGCGACGCCAAGGTGAGCAGGAGCCGCTTCCTTCCTTCCTTCTCGCTTGCGCCTACGTGGCTCAGGTGCCGGTGGGGAGGCTGAGCTGCGGACCGGCAAGTCTCGACCCGTGAGGCGGGCGACCCCGAAGCCCCTTCTCCTTCGTCCACAATGCGCGGCGCGGGGGACAACGCCAGACCTGTTCTCAAGCACCACAGCTGCTATTATTATTATTATTATTATTATTATTATTATTGCAATCGTTCGCTCGTTTGCAGATAGGTCTTATATATTACACTGGGCAACAATTTTTTACTTTTTGAATGTTGTCTAGATTTCTACAACTGATTTAGGGTATTTTTGCACTGCTGAATCAGGAAATGGCATCCGTTTCTCTCCATCAGGTCAGGTTTACTGTAAACTGAATGGTGGGCATTGATAAAGGTAAGTACACATAAATTGCATGTTGCTTCACCATTTTTCAAACTTCAGGGCTTGAACTTCTGTTTCTTGGAACTCCTGGAATGCTCAGCGGCAGGGAGGTCTCTCTTCAGAGTCCAACAGTAGTCAGCCATCATGACTGCGCCCCAGCGACCCTGATACCTGGTCTCCATCTCTCTTTCATGTCCTGATGGAATCTCCCCGCTCGTCACTCATTGAACCCAGGTTCTCAGGAAACCGGTCCATATGTAAAAATAGGTAGGGGTGCATCTTGACGCTCATGTTGCAGCCCAGGGTTTCAGCAGTCAGCATGTTGTTGACAGTTCTGCGTAGCTCTGACCTTATTGTTGCCAAGAAAGTTCTTCACTACCAGAAACAAATGCCTCTCCACGCTTCCAGTTCCACTGCTCACTGAGTTTCAACTGGATCTCTGATGAGCTGATGGATCTGAGATGCCAGCCAACTTCTCCATGGTCAACTTGGAAAAGCCTGGCACAAGTAAGTGAAGCAGTCACCATCCTTGTCCAGAGCCTTGGTGAACTGCTTGATTAAGCCGAGTTTGTGCAGCGGTGGGAAGAGTATTCTGTCTCTGTCCACCTAGAGGGTCTGAGATGACGTCTTCTTTGCAAGGCACCACCTCCCGCACAGGCCAGTCCTTCTTCGTGTAATGCTGAGCACGGTCCCTACTATCCCACATGCACAGAAAACATGGGTGCTTGGTGAAGCCAGACTGTTGTCCCAAGAAAAAGTTCATCATCTTCAGGTCAACACAAATAAACCACATGCTGATCATAACCAATTTTCTCCAGCACATACTTCACCGCTTCATAGTTCTCCTTCAGCGTACTCGAGTGAGCCAGGGGTATAGAGGCAAACTGGTTGCCGTTGTGTAGCAGAAAACATTTTGTGATCGCTTGCTGCTGTCAATGAACAGTCTCCAATCTTTGCCTGTACTGTAGCACTCCAAGCCTGAGCAGAAGCTGGCAAGAATATCTGCACAGTACACCAAGTCCTTCTTCCAGAAAACGGAGGTACCCTTGATGCCTGTTGCGGAAGAAGCTGATGCGAGCACTGTCAGAGAGGAGGTTTTTTTCCTTCAATCTAGATTCCAAAACTTCGGAATAGTCCTTTGACAAGCTGAGGACGCGAACTAGATCATTCAACTCCTTTGGGAAAATGGATGAGCATCATCTTCAAGAACCACTTCTTCTTCATGTCCTTCAACACTGGAAGCATCTCTGTCACTAATGTCAGTGGGGAAGCTCCAAAGATAGGCACTGGAATTTCATCACAATGAGCTACAGGACGACGTGCTGATTGAAGATCAGGATACTCTCGCGTGGGGCGGTTGCCCCATTAACTTAGTTTTGATCCCCAACTTTATGCTTTGCCACACCAATTTATGGAAGATTTCGAGGTTTTGCTCCCCCAAACTGATCCTTCGACATAATCACCCAGAACTATCGGACCTGAATACTTTGTCATTAAAATAATCATTTCCAATCAAAATGAATACCCGACATGGCATTTTACCCCCACCAACTTCTTCTAAAATGCTCCACACAAGCGTACATGTGAACAAAAACGTAAAAAAATGACGTGTCCCCATAGCTCAAAAACCTGACCTGATTGAGCAAAACCAATGTGATTTTTGAATTCAGCGCATCAGATTTGTCCTAAATCAACTGAAAAAACGCAGACAACAAATTTGTTGTTGACCAGTGTTATTAGTAGTATTATTTATTGAATTTATAGACTGCCCTATACCAGGAGGTCTCGGGGCGTTTTATAGAAAATAGCAACATAAAAACCACAATATACTGTATATACAGTGGTACCTTGGTCCTCAAATGCCTTGGTACTCAAACAACATGGAACCCAAACACTGCAAACCCGGAAGTAAGTGTTCCAGGTTACGAACTTTTATCGGAAGCCGAACTTGCTCAGTTTTGAGTGCCACACTTCCGTTTTGAGTGTTAAGCTGAGGTCTGTCTGTTTTTTGCGGCTCTTTTTTTTGTGACACTGTGGAACCCAGTTCAGCTACTGATTGACATAGCTGTCAACTTTTCCATTTTCTTGCGAGAAATCCTATTCAGAATAAGGGAATTTCCCTTTAAAAAAGGAAAACATTGACAGCTATGCTGATCGACTGATTGTTTGACTGCAGTACATTGTTTATTGCTTTCATTTTATGGATCAATGGTCTAGTTAAATTGCTGTTTTAGGGGTTAGGGTTAGGGTTTTAAAAGTCTGGAATGGATTTATCCATTTTGCATTACTTTCTATGGGAAAGCGTGCCTTGGTTTTGGAACGGACTTCCAGAATGGATTAAGTTTGAGAACAAAGGTACCACTGTTACAACACCCCCCCCCCCCAAAGAGCCACATTTTAAAAGAGCATAGGATGTCAAACAGATCAACCGAAGGCCTGGTTAAAAAGGAACATTTTTGCCTGGTGCCTAAAGATGTATAATGAACATGCTAGGCGAACTTCCCTTTGTGGAGAGCATTCCACAAACAGGGAGCCACTGCAGAGAAGGTCCTGTTCTCATGTTGCCGCCTTCTGGACCTCTCCAGGAGGAGGCACACAAAGAAGGGCCTCAGATGATCTCAGGGTCCGGGTAGGTTCATTTGGAAAGAGGCAATCCTTGAGGTATTGCGGTCCTAAGCCATATTACATTACATTATTTATGTACTGAATTTGTATGTGGCCCTTCATCCGCAGGGGTGCCAACTTGAATAAAATATTGGGGGGGGGCGTGCAGGTAAGTCCCACCCCGCATAATTGATCACACACCATTTGAATGGCAATGCTGATCAACTTTTTTGAGGGGGCCCAACCCCCTCAAATACTTTGTCGGGCCCTTCGGCTCCTAAGAGCTGGTTCCTATCCAAAGATCACAGGGCTGTTCGCAACATAAAAATACAAAATGCAAAATACACACGCGCAGAAGCAAAGCAAACACATAATCTCCCCCCACCCATTTTAAAAGGCAATAGAACGTGAATTAGCCAAGTGCCTGGTTGATGAGAAACGTTTTTGCTTGACGCCTAAAAATAGGTGTGTATGCAGTTGTATGCTTGATTTATTTTTTAAAAAATGATTGTTTCACCCTAATGCTTTTGGTGATCATTGTTTTTTCCCCTGTAAGACTTCCTGTCAACGAAAAATATGGGGTATAAATAAGTATATAATAATAATGCATGTGAAGCAGATTTGACCACTTAAAACTGCTACACAAAATGCTCCTAGCTTTTGAAACTGTCAAGCAGAGTAGTGAAGGCCAGGTGAGAGGGCTGGGGATGAAGTAAATCCAGAGAAGCTATTTTTAAATACACAATTTTTGGATGCCTTTATACCTGCATTTAATAAAGGACTCAATCTTTTAAACGGAGCAGATCTTTTTAGAATCATGTATGATAATTAGAAAGGGAGAAGATGGTGGGGTCTCAGATGTGTGGGTGCACCCAGTGAGTACCTTTGTACCCCTGGATGCTGTTGATAAGGGTGATATTGTGGCATGTAATCAGTCTTTTTAAGTGCTTTGATCAGATGGTGTTCTTGTGAATTACCAGGACACGCTCTTTTTGCCCAGTGTTAAATAGCACCCATGTCCAGCTCCAGGTTCAAAACGTTGCTATCAACCTTGATTGCATGGAAACAATATTTGAATACACCCAATTGGTTGGTTGTAGATTGTTATCCCATGCACACTTATCCAGCAGTAAACATCCTTTTGGCTAGTGAGACTTCTGGGGTCCACATGAGTTGAATTAGCCTATGTAAGATGTAAACTTACCCCAGAATGTCAAAGTAATATCAGTCGGACTTACCTTGTATTTTGAGGTACGGTATCTTAAATGATCTGAGTGGCTTCCACTTGTGGTTTGTTTTCAGAGAAACTCTGAGTGCTGCACTTAGTGCAAAGCAAGCCTTTGGTTTGTTTCCTTCCCAGTGTGGTAACAGCAGGTGTGGAGGATGAGAAAATTTGGGTTTGGGGTTTTTTTTGCATTATGCGCTAGTATGGTGCTTGCTCATATTAAGCAGTAGTTTTATTTTTAACCATAGTTTAATCTGCCATTCAAACCCTACCACTGTGACTGTCCTTTTATCCCTTAGGGTTACAAAGCATACACAAGCTGAGTGAGTTTGCGCACCTGAGCGATACCTCCATATCTGTCATGCATACCTTTGCACACCCTTACTTCAGCGATTAGAGCCTGCTGTACAAGAGAGGCTTGTATTTTTAAACTGATAAGCAGGATACGATGTGGCTGTTTTGAGACACGTGGTTCTGAGGAATGTTTCAAAATTTGTGTGTGAGTGAGTACAGTATATGTAATGTTCATTTATTTGATTTCTTTCCTGTCCATAAGGTCCCAGTGTAGCTTACAGTAAAAGAATATATGTTTATAAAAACAGCTTAAACCATGACAAAAACACACACAAAACTGTTCCACATGTTTTTTTCTGCAGCAACTGGATACTTGCTGTCTGTGGGGTGAAAATGACATTTCTCTTTGAGGCCTTGCTCTCTTTTCCAAAGGGGTGCAAGGTAAGATATTATCTCCTTGTTTCAGAGTGAGCACGAGAAGCAGGAACAGCTAGAGGCACGGAAGGAGAAGCAGCGGGAACTCATACTGCAACTCAAGGCCCAACTGGATGACTTGGAAACCTTTGCCTACCAGGAGGGAAGCTATGATGCACTTCCACAGTCCATGGTTGTGGAGAGACAACGGGTGAGGCCTAGCTTCCCTGTGGAGGGACTCTTTTAGCTGAACCAGCTGGTGTTTAGCCCTTTGGAGTGATCTTCAGAGAGGGAGGGGAAAACACCTCTCAACTTCCTTCCTGTGTGGTTTTACAGGTGATTATTGAGGAGCTGATCAAGAAGCTGGACATGAACTTGAGTGAGGACATTGCCTCACTGTCCCCAGAGGAGTTGCGTCAGCAGGTGGATGCTGCTGTGGCACAAATTGTCAATCCGGCACGTGTGAAGGAGCAGCTGGTAGAGCAGCTGAAAACCCAGATCCGAGACCTCGAGATGTTTATCAATTTCATTCAAGGTCAGTAGGCACATATCTTGCATAATTTGGGCAGTACATGGGGGCACTTGACCTTGGGTATTCAGGGGTCCAAGGTACATACGAAATGTGTGCAGATAACTTGAGAGTAGAGGCATGGGGTAGTTTGTGGCAGACCATGATGCTAAATTCACATTAGCGTTAATTCACTTTGACAAGTTAAGACATCTTATGTCTTGTAATTGGGATTTGAGTAAAAGGAAGGAGCAAGCCATAGGAGGATATTCAGTAACAAGTCTTGTTGCTCTAAGTGCCACAAAAATGAGTCTAGCAGTGAGAGCCAGTGTGGTGTAGTGGTTAAGAGTGGTAGTCTCGTAATCTGGGGAACTGGGTTCGCGTCCCCGCTCCTCCACATGCAGCTGCTGGGTGACCTTGGGCCAGTCACACTTCTTTGAAGTCTCTCAGCCCCATTCACCTCACAGAGTGTTTGTTGTGGGGGAGGAAGGGAAAGGAGAATGTTAGCCGCTTTGAGACTCCTTAAAGGGAGTGAAAGGCGGGATATCAAATCCAAACTCTTCTTCTTCTTCTTCTTAGCAGCACCTTTTAATGCATTCATTATGGCTTAAGCCTTCCTAGATCATGTTCACTGAATACATTATCCCAAGTTGACAGTTAGATCCTGTAATAGTGTTGTTTGAAAAGATTGACATCTGAGTTTGTTGCAGGGTCCGATCCCTGTGTTTGTGTCTTTTTATGCAGCTTGTCGCTGGCGAGTAGATATTTTCGGTTATGGGGCTGTTTGTAAGCAAAGACTGGCCTATTACATAAGAATTGGCTTTAGATCAATCCTGATATACTGGAGTGATTTTAGCTGTGAGGTGTTACAGGACCTAACAGGGTAAACCACAGCATCAAGTCATTGGGCTTGAATTGCAACCATCCAAAGATTAAATTATATAACCTGTGATATTCGATCACAATACTGTAATGGGTTTTATTCCACTAGAGGTGTGAGTTAGCTTTTCAGTGCTAGGAACTTGGTGGCATTATCCATAGTGAATAGTTACTAATTATTTTTTGTATATTTAAGATTTAACACAATCCTCAGTCTGCATTTCTTTTATTTTCTCTGGTTTCATTGCTTGCACTTTTTCTCTACATCCCATATGTATATATACTTGCTAAGTGAAGATAATGCTTCATGCATCTCTAAAAACACTTTCACATCCCTGATGGAGTGGACTCTAATCTGTAAGAGCGTATGTCATAGTGAATTTGTGAATCATTAAATTGCCACATTTTTGTTCCCCCCACTCTTTTCTTTAACAAGGGCACTCCTGGATTACTTGTTCATATAAGCATTATTATAGTACCTCTTTTCAGGGTGCCTGTTGTCTAAAGAATGGCTTCTCTGAATCTGGATTTGGTTTGGTGTGAGAGGGTAGCACAGAAACAAAGTATGTCTGTACCTTGGAAATATTTGTCTTCAAATGAAAATGAAGCTGAGGAGGAAGAGTCATTGCTGGGATAGAGCTGGGGTTTAGAGCATATTGTACATGGATATGAATCAAGGTTGTTCTAGGTTTTACAATACTTAGTAAAATATACTTTTCTGGCTTTACAGAAGAAGTCAGCAGCCCAGGTAATGCAGAGAAGGGGCATTGTGACTGTTCAGGTGGAAAACCTGGAAGTGGCAACTGCAAACCGAGCACGCGGCAGCCTCATGGAAGACACCGAGGTGGGTACCTGGAGAGCCTTCAGGGTCTTGTATGACACTGCGCATGGTCAAGAGATGGCTTTTAAATTTCATTTTGTTTCATTGTTTTATTTAAGTTATATGCCATCATTTATCAATAATTTATTCCTGAGCAGTTCACAATATTACAAAGAGTACATCCCCATTAACACTATAAAATACAGATTAAAGCTTACAGAAGCACCGCAACATAAAATGTTTATTGCTTGGCACCTCTAAAACTATGGGGAGATATGTGTGTGTTGCAAAGACACTTTGAGTAGCGAATTGGGTCTCTGCCACCTTTTAATTCTTTTCTCCCTGCCAGCCCCATAGAGTAGCTTCCTTCACTAATATGGACCACCCCCTGGTGTCTGTACCAATGCCAGCCATTCTCTTACTCTTCTCACCAATTACCAACCTAAGATGAGGCCAAAGTGGGGCCTACTCCATCACTGCAACACTCACTTTTTGTTGCCACTTTGTCCCTGTCCCAGATAATCTGAGTGAAACCGGTCTCCCATAAGATGACCCAAGGATACTTAGCCCTGCAGTACAAACTCTGCCCCCTCCCACACAGCTTGGCAGGGTTTAATGGAGTGTGGGGCCCACACCTGCAGCTGTGCTACCCATAGCAGGAGATGGACAGGTGGAGTGAGCTTTGTGCCAGTCAAAACCGCAACAAGTGTTTGCTTTAACGGAGCGGAAACCACTTCAGTCCGTCTGCTCCTCTAAGGAATGTTTCCTTTCCTCTCTCTGATTTTGTAGTGAATCCTGAAGACGCACAGAGGATGCGAGAGACGGGATTACATCTCATGCGCCGGATGCTCGCGGTGCTGCAGATCTTCGCGGTGAGCCAGTTTGGCTGTACAACTGGACAAATACCACACCATCTATGGCAGAAGGACCAGTCTGACAGGGACTATTCGCCCTTGGTGAAGAAGTTAGAGGTGGCTGTGGCCCATGTGAGGCAGCTGGCTCAGAAGTACCAGCTGACAGAGCCAGAACATGTCATCAGCTGCTTGGGCTTCCAGGATGCCTCTTTGGGCGGGCGGGATGAGCTGACGCTGGCCGTGCGTAAGGAGCTGACAATAGCTGTGCGGGACTTGCTGGCCCACGGCCTCTACACCCCATCGCCAGGCATGAGCTTGGTTCTAGCCCCCATTGCCTGCTTGCTGCCGGTACTGAGCTCCTCTCCTCAGGCCATGCACCCATGGGAGCTCTTTGTGAAGTATTACAACTCTAAGAACGGCCGTGCCTTTGTGGAATCGCCAGCACGCAAACTTTCCGAGTCTTTTGCCCTCCCGGTGATGGGGGGAGTGCCTGCCACCCCGAAGCAGAGCCTGCTGTCGGCCATCCACACTGTGCTGTCGGAGCATGACCCATTCAAGCGTAGTGCAGACTCGGAGCTGAAGGCGCTGGTGTGCCTGGCCCTCAACGAGCAGCGCCTGGTCTCCTGGCTCAACCTAATCTGCAAGTCAGGGGCCCTGATCCAAGCCCACTACCAGCCCTGGAGTTACATGGCCCAGACAGGCTTTGAGGGGGCCCTCAATCTCCTTAGCCGCCTTAGTAACCTTCGATTCAGCCTCCCTGTGGACCTGGCAGTGCGGCAGCTGAAGAACATCAAGGATGCCTTTTGAGTGGCTGAGGAGTCTGGAGTCCAGCCTCACCCACTTTGAGGAAACACTTCTGGCACAGTCCAGCAGGCCACTTCTGTGTGTTCACAAGGGGGGAAAATTGCTGCTAGTTGGTGATGGTCTTGTGTTGCTGAGTTGCTACTGGCTGCCTCCATTGCATGCACCAGACCGCATGGAGCTCCTGTTAATTTGCAGGGTCTTTATTGCGGTAGCCTCCTTGGTGCTGTGCAGAAAATGTCCGTGTGCACAGTTCTTAGCTATTAAGGATAGGCTGTAGTGGAACCAGTCGGTAGGCTTGGCAGGAGGGCATCTCTCCTACCAGAGGGAATTTCTACAGGGCCAATAGGAAGCTATTTATATCCTGAGTCCCATGGAGTCAGGGCTAATCCACAACAGTATAGACAATATTTTGGCTACATCACAGAAGACTCCTTTCTTTCCCAAGGAGGTGTATGTGCCAGGCACACCATTCCAGACCTATAGTTTCATATTATCATATCATATAAAATGCACTGGCTGAATTACCAAATCTGAGCAGGGTCCTTCCCTGTGTTTGATGGCCTTAAGCTATTTAACCCTCATGCTGCAAGGGACCAGTCACTTGCAGGGAGTTTTTCCTCCCAGTCAGATTATTGTGTGTTGGAAATGGATCCCTCATGTGCTTATTTGTCGGCAACATGCACCCAGTATTTACAACTGGCTCACTGGCAAGGTATTGTGATGGACAGGTGAACTCTTTACAACTTTCCCCTACTAAGTATTCAGGTGGTATGAGAGGTGATTTCAAGGGAAGACGGGGAAGAGAAGTGAAGAAAGACAATGGCTTGATCACGGAGAGAGGGTTTGGTCTGGGATCAAGCACCTTGGAGAGTGGGTGGATGTACCTATTTTTATCTCTAGTGGGAAAGGTGTTGAGCTTACCTGTTCAAATAGCAGTTGCCGCAACTCCCACCTTGAAGGAGCAAGCCATCAGTTATGTGTTCTTTACTGGCACACAAAGTCACCTCTAATTTGTTTTTGGATGGCCAACCCTCAGCTGTTCTTTAGCAAATTAGAACTGCATGACCTTGAACCTTTGGGTTGCCATGTCTGATCTGTGGCAGTAGTAAGCCTAGGTAGAATCCTCATGTGCTGTTCTTCAGTGGAGCAGAACAGTGGTGGAAGATGCATCTGGAGATATTGAGACCAGGAGTAACTCTTCAGCTTGTGGCTCACCCCTTTGGACTCAGGGCACTGTCCTGATAGTCTACAAAAAGGCTGGGTGCGCATGGTTTGTGAACAATTCCTAGACCCAGATTTGCAACATCTGTAACTCTTACTTGGCGTCTTGTAGACATCCTGCATTTGTGAGATCTGAAGATTAAGGCAAACTGCAGTGTCTTCAAAGCCAAATCTGACAACATCCTCAGAGTGTGCAAAGGAGGTTCAGTGGCAAACAGCACTCTTTTGTGTTAGGTGAAGCCTGTGTATTTTTTGCAAGTAAGTTGGCTTGTGACGTGTGTATGCTAAATTGTCCTGCTGAAACTCCTCCGTTTAATGTAGGAGCTCTTCTGTTTTTACTTGTTGATTTATGTGTTGATGCACTTAAGAAAATTCTGTCCTTGGTTCCCGGGTATATCTATTTAATGCTGTGTGTTTTTGTTTTGACTACATTTCAGTGCAAAAGGAAGAATGTATTTATGCAGAATTGTATCTGTTGTTAATAAATTCAGTCTGTCATCTTTCTTATTTTTGTTTTCTGTATTTTTTATTTTCCCTGCCATTTTTGACAGTTGTGGGGTCTTCCTTCTTGTACCACATGTGTTTCCAATATGTGCAGAAACAACTTGGCTCTCTGTGAAATTTCTCTTTAGGACAGAATGAAATTAACTTATGGCACATCTTAGCTTCTCAAATATTTAGTAAGCAAAAATGTTACAGTCCTCTGTGAAGGATAGTTATTTGGGGGCATGCCTATAGTTATCATGAGAAAGCTTCATACTTGGCCCAGTATACTTGAAAGAGCGTCTCCAACCCCATCGCTCAGCCTGGACACTGAGGTCCTCCTCCGAGGGTCTTCTGGTTCCCTCACTGTGAGAAGTGAGGTTACAGGGAACCAGGCAGAGGGCCTTCTCGGTAGTGGTGCCCTCCCTGTGGAATGCCCTCCCATCAGATGTCAAGGAAATAAACAACTATTTGACTTTCAGAAGACATCTGAAGGCAGCCCTGTTTAGGGAAGTTTTTAAGGAATGATGTTTTTATTATCTAAAAACATAATAAAAACATCAATCCTTAAAATGTTGTAAGCTGCCCAGAGTGGCTGGGATAACCCAGCTAGATGTGTGGGGCATTATTATTCTATTTATACAAATAATGTATGCAGCCCTGTATATATTGATGAGGTGAGGATCACTTCCAGTTTTGCAGTGCAAAGAGTTCAGGAGAGACTGACTGATTGTACGGGCAGAAATACGTGGTGTTCCTCTCAGTTTACTATCTCTCCTAGGGTGGTGCTGTCTGTGGTCTAAACCACTGAGCCTCTTGGGCTTGCCGATTGGAAGGTCGGCAGTTTGAATCCATGTGACTCTGTCCCAGCTTCTGCCAGCCTAGCAATTCAAAAGCATGCCAGTGCAAATAGATAAATAGGTACCACTGCAGCAGGAAGGTAAATGGCATTTCCGTGCACTCTGGCTTCCATCACGGTGTTCCGTTGCACCAGAAGTGGTTTAGTCATGCTGACTATGACCCGGAAAGCTGTCTGTGGACAAACGCCAGCTCCCTCGCAGTGCATCCTACTGCCACTGCTGCCTCCCAGGGTGTGGTGCTCGCTTCATGTTCACCTTTGACCAGTCTCTGTTGGGCCACTAAGGCTGGGGACATCCTCTTCCCAGGCCCCTGTGGGGCAGTGTGAGGAGGCACCTCTCTTTGGAGTGGGTATGGGGCAGCTCAAAAACCAGGGGTGGCAGCAGCAGCTGCCCGGAGGACTTCCCAATGAGAGGAGGCTGAGGAAACACTCCACAAGGGAGGGTGTTTGAAAAAGGGTGAGGGGATCCCAGCTCTGGTGGCAAGGGGTGACATAACTGGGCTCCTGAGCCCCACAGGTGAGCAGCAGAAAGAATGTAGTTGGTCAAGGGAGCTGTGGACTCAAATAGGGTGAAAAACCTCTGTGATAGACCATTTGGGACACTTGTAACTTGCAGTCTGTTTTCCCGTGACAAAAATCACACAGTGGACCCTAGATACACTTGCATCTTTTTCGAGGACAAACCACTTCTCTACCACTGCATTGTCGACAAATTGGAATTACAGTGGAACCTCGGCTGTCAACCATTTCAGAAGTCGAACGTGTCAGGTTTTGAAAGCTGGCAAGCCGGAAGTGGATGCTTCTGTTTTCGAACGTGCCTCGGAAGTCGAATGGCTTCCGAGGCACATTTCTCCATTTTTTCAATGGATTTTGCGCCACAGTTGTCGAACGTTTCAGAAGTTGAACAAATGGATTACGTTTGACAACAGAGGTTCCACTGTGGTACAAAAAGGAAAGGCAGTCTTCTCAGCCTTTCACAAGCAGCGGTGGAAGTCTCTCTGCTGGCATCTTGTGGAGAAACTAGCTGTTGCAAGCCTTGTTTACAGACCCTTTGTGTTTTTATTTCCATCTGTTGGAGAAATTGTGGAAGACATCCACCCAATAAGACTGAAACAATCCTTTTGTAAAATAATAAAGTAGTCTCTGCAGCTTGGCTGCCAGCCCCATCATATATTTATCTAAATCTAGATATGAACTACAAATCCCATCACACACTTCAGATGTTACATGAGTCAATTGCAAGCTTATATTTGGCAGGCTACTTTTCTTCAGGACAAAGCCATCCCAAGGCAGCTTACAGAAGATAATTAACTTTATATACTGAACAGAAGCATTGTGTTTCCAAATGATTTACAGAATAGCCTCCTTGCAATGCTTCTGGTCCTTTAATGATCTTCCTGTTTTTACATATCCACCTGTGATGGACATGGCTGTAATTATCCATTGGAGTTGTTCCTAGCCCTCACGTCTTTCCCCAGACTGGTTCAACTTCCCACCTTGGATTAGTGTGAAGCTACATCAACATTAAGGGACGTGGGTGGCGCTGTGGGTTAAACCACAGAGCCTAGGACTTGCTGATCAGAAGGTTGGCGGTTCGAATCCCCGCGACGGGGTGAGCGCCTGTTGCTCGGTCCCTGCTCCTGCCAACCTAGCAGTTCGAAAGCACGTCAGAGTGCAAGTAGATAAATAGGTACCACTCTGGCAGGAAGGTAAACGGCATTTCCGTGTGCTGCTCTGGTTCGCCAGAAGTGGCTTAGTCATGCTGGCCACATGACCCGGAAGCTGTACGCCGGCTCCCTCGGCCAATAAAGCGAGATGAATGCCGCAACCCCAGAGTCGGTCACAACTGGACCTAATGGTCAGGGGTCTCTTTACCGTTACATCAACATTACATTACAAAATCGTTCAGCCCGGACACTGAGGTCCAGCTGGGTCGAACCTAATAGCACAAAGTGGGGTGGGTACGAAACAACTCTAATTAGCTGGAGGCTGGGTAGCATTTTTTAGTTCAAAAAATCCCCACTCACAAGATACACAGTGGGTTACATCCAGTGCAAGATTTACATATAAGCTAAACAAGCTATAGCTTAAGGCCCCACTCTCTTGGGGGGCCCCCCAAAAAAATTAAAGGGGAAAAAACAACTGGATGTACATTTCCAAAATATAAGATAAAAAACAAATAAAATAAAATCTACATACAGCAACCGTGTTTTGTGTTGTGTAGGCTCCAATGATGTAAGTAATGGGCCCCGCCTGCTAGCCTGCTCCCTAAAATATCACTGGTTTGTTCATTCCTATGTATAGGGTGCCTACATTCTGCATGGACTGGTTGCATTCAGCACAAAAAAACTGCCACGGATTGTTGTTGACAAAGGACAGCTGGACATATTAAAGGGCCCCATTACCTTCAGTAGCTTAAGGCCTCATCAAACCGAAATCCGGCTCTGGTTACATCAAATGCAATTTGACCGAAGTTGCCCCGTCTCGGTCCCAGCTACACGCAGAAGCCTTATGACACGTCCATTAACTGCGGGGCACTTTGAAATGTTAAAAAAACGCCCTGTGATCTTCGGATAAAAGGCGGAATATAAATGTAATGTAATTAATAATAATAATAATAATTGATGATGATGATGATGATGATGATAATAATAATAATAATAATAATAGAATTAGAAGCAATGCGCTTGTTGGTGCTATCGGTACCCCACAATCATAAAGCATCTCCGAAACTCCGGATTTCTTCTTTGTTTTCTGCTGGCAGCTCTCATTCTCAAGGTGCGGGAGATAAGGAGGGGGAAAAAATCCCAATTTAAGAACTCGGCGTGTGCTTGTCTTTACCTCGCGTAGCTCTGCTTTTCCCAAAGCTCTACGTTCCAGCAATGCGCATGCGCAGCCCAAGCCGCCGGGGCCGCGTGAAAGGCTGGCGGAAGCGAGCGCTCTTTCCTCTTCCGGTGTGGGTGCCATCGCTGCCGCAGCTCCAGTAAGTTGAGGGGAAGCGGGGTCTTCGGCGCAATCCGTCGCCATCCTCTCGGGCCGGTTGGGAAGCCGCAGTGCCGAGGTGGTCGGGGGGCTGGGGTGACTCTGCCCTACCGGGATGGGCTCTGGGGTGGCGCGGGGGGTCGCGCAGGGCTCAGCCTTGTCTTTGCTCGTCTTTCTCGGATGGGAAGAATATACTTTAATGCGGGTCTCTGGGGATGGAAGGCCTTTGCTTCTCCCTCACTCTCTCTGCCACCCCTTTTTTTTTAAAGCTATACTGTATCTTGTAGCGGGGACAGTTTGCGGGATTTCCCCCCATACAATCAAGGTTTTATGAAACAAAACGCAGGTCTCTTTTCAAATAAATCCCCCATACGACTGCTGTTCTGCGTGCATTTCGTATAAATGTTATTTATTGAATTTGTATACCGCCCTTCAACCTAGATCTCAGGGCGGTTCAGAACATAAAAACACAAAATGCATAATAAAAAAGAACAAACCCTCCCAAATAAAGCTGCTTCTAATTAACACATTTCAAGGGGTAAATATTGAATCTAAACACACAGAAGGTCCTGCGTAGCTTTCTCCCCTTACTTGCACCCTCCGATTTCGTTGAGTGGGATTGGGGTATTTTAAGACACCTGCGTGATGTGGTGGTTAAGGGTACCTTGGAGATCTGGGTTCAGATCCACCCCCCCATAGCCATGAATTTCACTGGGTGGCTTTGGGCCCAGTCGTTGTGTTTCGGCTTGATCCACCTGGCAAGGTTGTGAGGATACAGTAAGGGAGGAGGAGAATCACATGTGCCAGCTTCACCTCCTTGGGGGAAAGGTGGGCTAAAAGTATTATATAAATATAATTAACAAGACCATAGGTCCTATGCATACACATGTATATAGGACTATAGGGAATAGGAGAGGAAACCCTGTCACCACTGCTGAGAGCTTGGTAAGTTAGGAAAAGATTGGCTAGCCCTTTTAAGTCCTTGGCTGCCACCACCCCAGAGGAAATCCTGCATATTCATTCATTTTTCAATTTTTATACCGTCTTTCTATCTTACAATGCTCAAGGTGGTTTACAAGATGAAGAGAATGTACATCTTATAACAAGCCAATGCAATACAAAAATGTGATAATAAAACAACTTTAAAATAGGCACCCTACATCAAAAAAGTAACATTCAACAATCATTAGAATAGTACTAAATAATAATAATAACATATAAAAAAGAAATCCACTCAACTGTTAAAATAAAAAACTTCCAAACTATAATCAATAAAACAATGGCAAGCCACAGTACATAAAATAATACAATACAAATTGAGAAGCAGAGACTAGAGGGTGGAGCAAGGCAGGTGGAAGGAGGTCTTGCCGGACGAAGTCTCTCCCCTCACATTTCTTACTCCAGGCACAGCTTCCTTATGAGGAATATACTATTCTGTGCATACATATTGTACCCGTGTATGAGTTTTGGGGGAATGTTAATTTTTCAAATAGTGATGTGCAGGGATACGTCACGAGTGTGTTTGTTTACATTGTTCTTCCTCTCCTTTACAGAGATGGGCAAGTTTATGAAACCAGGGAAAGTCGTCCTTGTCCTCGCTGGGCGTTACTCTGGACGCAAAGCTGTTATTGTTAAGGTGAGATAGTTGGACTTTGAGGAAAACGTATTTTTAGGAGCAGGAAGGTAGAATTTTTTGGCAGATGGAGGAATAAGGTCTAATCTCTCTAGGATGATGTGGTAGTCAATTGCTCTGTATCCTTGAGTCCAAAACAGTGGAGAATATTTGGTGTTACCTTTTTAGCCACACAGCTAGAGCTCTTGGAGTGGCTTACAAAATCAAACAAAAGAGACTGTTATCAACTAGTAAAGTAAGATCATAAGCCACAAAACTACAGAAGGCGGCGCAAAAATGCCACCATAACATTTGGTTGCCGGTCCCACTTAGAGCAATGAAGTTGCTTTTGCCTGTTAACATGCCCCTGAATCTTTGTTGAAGGTAGTTAGTTGCATGCTAACTCTACTGTGCCTGATCCTTCTAACGAACCTCTTTCATACAGAATATTGATGATGGCACCTCTGACCGCCCCTACAGCCACGCTCTGGTGGCTGGCATCGATCGCTACCCACGCAAAGTGACAGCAAGCATGGGCAAGAAGAAGATTGCCAAGCGTTCCAAGATCAAGTCCTTTGTGAAGGTCTACAATTACAACCACTTGATGCCTACCAGGTGAGTGAGGAGCTTGATAAAGATATGCAAGAGGAAAAGAAAGTGGGAGACTTTCCTCTGTCCTTCCAGTACAGTCAGCATTGACGTTTCTGGGTCCCTGCCTTCCCTGCCTTTAGGGGAGGCCAGATGACAGGGCAGAACTGCCTTCAGACCTATAACCCGCCTTCTCCCCATTGTGTCTTTTGCCTAGGTACTCCGTTGATATTCCCCTTGACAAGACCGTTGTCAACAAGGATGTCTTTAGGGACCCTGCGCTAAAACGTAAAGCCCGGCGGGAGGCCAAAGTGAAATTTGAGGAGAGGTGAGTCTTCAGGAAAACACGTCCACTTTGGGGGTGTCGTGAGTTGTGGCCAAATACTTTTTATTACGTGTGTATCCAGGTGAGCATAGAGATGTGTGTTTTACCTGTAAAGAGTAGCAGACACTGGGCCTTCATCCCTGGGTTTCCCACATCCTAAGCCTTGTCACCTAGTCCAGTGTTCTTCAGACAGTGGCCTGGGACCTGCCACCAGGCCCTGAGCTGCTCTAGGTTCACTTGTCTGCTCTCCCCGCTAGGCATGTCATTGCCATTTTGCTGAACCAATGCTAGCATCAGTCACACCTTGCATGCTGAGCAAAGGTGTCTAGAAGACAAAGGGAGCGTGGGTAGGTAGGTAGGTCTCCCTCCTCTGATAGGAGTGAGACAGTGGAGGCCGGTACATTAGGGCAACAGAAGCACTGCCCCACCAACCTCAGCTAGCCCCTGCCTTGCCTCCTTTGTTCAGGGGGTGGCAACCCCCCCCCATCTGCTTCCTCCTCCATAGTCCTGGTGTTGCCCATTGCAGAATTCAACAGGAAGGAGGGTGGGCACAAAAGTTGGCTCTGGCAGCGTGAAGCTTCCCTTTCCAATCCCAATGGGTATCAGCCACTGTTTCCTTTTGAGCCTCCTCTCTGGATACTCATGTTGATGGAAAGCTGCCTAAAATGGAGCTGAGTTGCCTTAGCTGAAGGGAAACCGAACTGTGGAACTCCTTGCCACAAGGAAAACACTGGCATTTAGCAATTTCCAGAGGTGGAAAGAGATGTCAGTCATTGCCAGTTGATCCTGCAAAAATGCTCTTGTTTTGTGACTGGAGGGGCTCAGTAATTTTTAGTTTTCTCAAGTGGGCCCTTGTGGAAAAAAGTTTGAAACCCCCTTACCTAATCCATTGCACACATCAACCGGCAGGGGCTTTGTGGTTTAGGTTATGACTTCCTTGTACATTAGGCAGTTTGATGCTGGGCTGCTGTTCACATAATGATACTAACAGGAGATCTTTGTTCATTCTCTTTCAGATACAAGACGGGCAAGAACAAGTGGTTTTTCCAGAAGCTCAGATTCTGAGTGGCATGCATTTGCACCAATAAATATTTTTGAAAAGCCCATTTTTCCTCATTCTTTATTGTCAACACCCTCTCTCTTGTGGATTAATTGGGGGAATGGAAGGAAGAGAAGTAAAACACTATGGGGCTGTGAAAATCTTGTGGCATCATAAGAAGAGCCGCAGGATCAGACTGCTGGCCCATCTTGTCCAGCATTCCATTCTCGCAGTGGTCAACCAGATGCATGTGAGAAGCCGCCTTCTTGGGAGGTTTTTAAGCAGAGGTTGGATGGGTATGGATGCTTTAGCTGAGATTCCTGCATCGCAGGGGTTGGGCTAGATGATCCCTTGGGACCCTTACAACTCTATAGTTCTGTGATAAGTCCAGAAGCAGGACATTAGTAGAATAGCAGTTATGTAGACGTCACTGCTGAGGAGAAGGCTTTTTTAGGCAACTGCATGAAATAATAAGGTACAGTGGTGCCTCGCAAGACAAAATTAATCCGTTCCGCGAGTCTCTTCGTCTTGTGGTTTTTTCGTCTTGCGAAGCACGGCTATTAGCAGCTTAGCGGCTATTAACGGCTTAGCAGCTTTAAGAAAAAGGAAACAAACTCGCAAGAACTCGTAAGACGTTTCGTCTTGCGAAGCAAGCCCATAGGGAAATTCGTCTTGTGGAACGACTAACGGAAAACTCTTTCGTCTTGCGCGTTTTTCGTCTTGCGAGGCATTCGTCTTGCGAGGTACCACTGTATTATTACTCCCCACATAAGAACTTTTAACTTAGAGTGATGGTTTAATTGTAGGAACAGTTTTCAGGGCCCCACAATGTTGAAAAAGTATACAACAAATATAGGTGTTGATCTCCATACATAACCCACAAAACAGGTTTTGTGTGCTTGGCATTGCTTTTCCTTTGCAACCAGCTTGAACCAGGGTCTCTGCCTATCTAGGTTTAAGGAAGTGTGAGAGCCATGTAAATCTCTTTGGATTTTGAAGTGTTTGGGGAGCTCACTGCGGTGGATGCATTGTAGCTGGCATGATGGAAAAAGAGAAGGGGGCTTCCTTGTGTATTGGGGTCTTCATGTGCTTTCTCCTATTACCCTCTCTGCAACTTCCCCATCTGCTACCTTTAGATTTGAGGGTCTGTGTTAGGCGAGGGGTACTCCCTCTGGTGCGGGACATGTCGTGTTCATCCTGGGGCAGTTTGTCCACCTTTGGTCCCTATCCTGCACTCCTCTCTCACCTATGGCTCCTAGAAGCTGTCAGCTTGCGACAGCAGCCACATCACAGAAACTGCTTCAACTGGCAGACTAAACCAGGGTAGGGTAATTGATGGGTCTCAAACCCTGGATGAGTTAGGGATTTCCCCTGCATGCGCAAACAGGCTCTGTAGGATTGAGTTAAGGCGGTTTCTGCCCATGCTGCAGAGGGAAGTGAGGGCAGGTGGGGTTTGGCAAACCTTGGAAAGTAGGAAGGAAAAGTGATCCTAAACCTCTGCTGCCTTACGGGATATCCTCAGGGGAAGAAAAGGCTTAAGGAGTGGAGTCCCTAAGACTGTTGGCCTCCTTCCGGTAACTGCAGCCTAGGTAAAGGGTAAAGGGACCCCTGACCATTAGGTCCAGTCGTGGCCAACTCGGGGGTTGTGGTGCTCATCTCACTTTATTGGCCGAGGGAGCCGGCATACAGCTTCCGGGTCACGTGGCCAGCATGACTAAGCCACTTCTTGCGCACCAGAGCAGCGCATGGAAACGCCGTTTACCTTCCCACCAGAGCGGTACCTATTTATCTACTTGCACTTTGAGGTGCTTTCGAACTGCTAGGTTGGCAGGAGCAGGGACCGAGCAACGGGAGCTCACCTCGTCGTGGGAATTCGAACCGCCAACCTTCTGATCGGCAAGTCCTAGGCTCTGTGGTTTAACCCACAGCGCCACCTGCGCCCCCGAGTTGGTTCCAAACGTACTGCTCTGCTTTCCTTTGGACCACATCAGTGGTCTTGTTGTCTGGGCAGCCTAGGACCTCCAGGCACACTGCCCAGGCTAGTGCCCCAGGGAGGTTACTTCAGTGCTGCTAGTGCAGCCAAAACAACGTGGTTGGCAGCAGTTACCAGTTATGGGTCTCTGCGGTCACAGTAGGTACTGTGATTCTTCAGCGATTCCCGGAAGAGCACTCCATTGTCTCTCAAGACAGATGAATGCCAATAATAATAATAATAATAATAATAATTTATTATTTATACCCTGCCCATCTGGCTGGGTTTCCCGAGCCACTCTGGGCGACTTCCAAAAGAACACTAAAATACACTTAAACCTGTTAAACATTAAAAACTTCCCTAAACAGGGTTGCCTTCAGATGTCTTCTAAAAGTTTGGTAGTTATTTTTCTCTTTGACTTCTGGTGGGAGGGCGTTCTACAGGGCAGGTGCCACTACCGAGAAGGCCCTCTGCCTGGTTCCCTGTAACTTCGCTTCTTGCAGGGAGAGAACCGACAGAAGGCCCTCGGTGCTGGACTTCCGTGTCTGGGGTGAACGATGAGGGTGGAGACACTCCTTCAGGTATACTGGACCGAGGCCGTTTAGGGCTTTAAAGGTCAGCCCCAACACTTTGAATTGTGCTCAGAAACATACTGGGAGCCAGTGTAGGTCTTTCAAGACCGGTGTTATATGGTCTCGGCGGCCGCTCCCAGTCACCAGTCTAGCTGCCGCATTCTGGATTAACTGCAGTTTCCGGCTCACCTTCAAAGGTAGCCCCACATAGAGCGCATTGCAGTAGTCCAAGCGAGAGATAACCAGAGCATGCACCACTCTGGCGAGACAGTCCACGGGCAGGTAGGGTCTCAGCCTGCGTACCAGATGGAGCTGGTAGACAGCTGCCCTGGACACAGAATTGACCTGCGCCTCCATGGACAGCTGTGAGTCCAGAATGACTCCCAGGCTGCGCACCTGGTCCTTCAGGGGCAACAGTTACCCCATTCAGGACCAGGGACTCCCCCACACCTGACCACCCCCTGTCCCCCCCCAAAACAGTACTTCTGTCTTGTCTGGATTCAACCTCAATCTGTTATCCGCGATCCATCCTCCAACCACCTTCAGACATGGTTGGCATGGAAGTGCAGAACAAATGGGAGCACTTGAGCAAATCCGTTGCTAACACTGTTCTCCAGTGCTTTTCTCTTGTCGAGCTGCCCCTCCGAAATGCTGACAGTGCACCTCTGAGCATGAGCAGAGTACGGCTCTACTCTGGAGTGAAGAAAGCTTGTCAATAGCCCATGAAAATAATAATATGCACGTGCACACACAGACACCGCTAGTAAATACATAATTTCTTAGCTGTGGGTGCTGATTTATTTTGTGGTGGGGGCACTTTGTACATGTTCATTGCAATTTAAACACTTCCGTGCGGAACTCCGATATTAGACATGCAATCTGCAGTTGTCCGGGCTATATAGCAGGGAAAAGGGGAAAATTTTAAAGACAAGGCTATCCGTTATTCCAAAACAATCTCTCCATTGAGAAATCGGAAACTGGACGGTTGCTCCTCGGAAATCCCAGATTAAACACACAAACCCGGGGGACCAAATAGATCTCTTCTTACCCCCACAATTCTATGTTGAGATTCGTGCATGGTAAAGAGTGTGGGGGGGTTTGGACTAGATGACCCGGGGTCCCTTCTTCCAACGCCACAAAGGCGCACCCATCCTGCCTGGGGAGCAGACTTCCCGCTTCGGGCGGGGCTTGGTTGGGGGGAGGAGGCTTTTAACAGCTGGAAATCGAAAGTGGAAGCGACGCAAGGAGGCCAGCAGCTGCTGGGAAAGGTAAGCTCGCTAGTTTGGGGAGGGTCTTGTAGGCCTGATCCGATTCTGTCCCCAAACCGCAGCACCCAAACGTTCCGCTTTGCGCTTGGATAGAGGTGTCCGTGCGCGCCCTCTGCGCGCCGCCTGCCTCTCGACGCCAGACTGTAGGGCGAGGTCAGGATGAGTCCTCCGTAGGGGCGGCAGGTTAACAACCATTGCATTTGAAGCCTGGGGTTCGGGACCGGGCACTGTGAATTCAGCAAGCAGGGCGGGTTTCATGGGAGAAGCCAAGGGGGGCAGGGAGTGGCGGCTGCCCTCCCAAATCAATAATCAATACATGGCAAACCTAGGTTCTGCCTCCCGACAAAAATCCTGGCTTCTCCCATGGCGGGTCTCGACTTTTCCGGCGTCAAGTTTCTAGTCCGTATGACCGAGGAAGAGAGCATGGCAGCGTGCAGGGAAACGGAGGCGAGGAAACAAGGAACCTCTGGATAAAGACGGGAGTTTTAGGGATCTAAGCTCTTTGTGCTGCTCTAGGGTATGTGAAGCAGAATACAGTATGCAAAGCAGATGCATATTTGCATAATAAAACCGAATTACATTCTCCCCCCCCCCCCGCCCTGGGTGGTATTTGGGTTACCTCTGTTTTGTATTAAAGTGCGCTGCTAACTCGGCCCTTCTATTTTCTTCCAGGTGTGTCAACAGAATGGATTCAGATGAGGTGAGTAGGTAACTGATAGGCAACTAAGAATCTGCCTCTGTGTGGCACCCAGATGGATGGATGAGGACTAAGCAGTACATATTTAAAGCACTTTCACACCACTTTAAATAATCTTGGCTCCCCCCAAAGAATCTTGGGAATTGTAGTTTGCTAAGGGTGCTGCTGGGAATTGTTTGGCACCCCTTATTCCTCTCCCAGAACTACAGTTCCCAGAATGATTTAACAATCAATCCCTCTTCCAAGGGAATTCTGGATATCAAAGCTTTGTAATAGAGGGGTCTGCTAACGGCTCTCAGCACCCTGAACAAACTATTGTTCCCAGGATTCTTTGGAGGAAGCCATGAAGGTTTAAAGTGGTATCTTCTTATTTATTTCGTAAAATATATAGGCCATTTGATTGTAAAAATAAATAAATCTCAAAGTGGTTTTGAAAAAGATAAAAACAAGGGAATCAAGGAAAAAATACAATAAAAAAATTAAAATAAATTAAAACAAATAAATTAAATTAAATTAAAACAAATTAAAACTTACACCAGCATTCCTTAGCATTTGGGTCA